AAAATATTCTTAAAAAATACTTTCCATAGACCCCTGGGCCATTGGAACAGTACAGTCCAAAAGGAATACTTTGAGGAGGAGAAGTTTGAGCAGGTGGAATCACAAAGGCCTGGGGACGGTGGTCGTGCAGGAGCACGGGAGGGGAGGCGGGCTCGGGGAGGGCTCCCAGGTTTCTGGCTTCTGCATTTCCTCCCCATGTCGGGAGGTCTGTGGCCTCAGCATCCCACGTGGCCACGTGGCCATCCCTGAGTCAGGGCCTGGCCCGTTCATCCTCAGGACTTAAAGATCAAAGCCTGTTGCTGCACGATCAACCCAACCACAGAAAACGAGCCTCGACTAGGACGGCTGACTTACATTCTGTGGTTCCCTTGGGCTGGAACAACTATAGCATCTCAGTGCAAAGAGAAAATGCAAAGGCTTGTGTTTAAGCAGAAGGCAGCCAGCAGACTCCAGAAGCATGGAGCCTTCTCACCCCTGGGGGAGGGGTTTGCGGTCCAGAATGATCTTTCCTGTAGGATCCAGTGCCCCAGAATTCTGCATCCTCACTGTGGGCACACTCCCTGGGCAGCCTGGGACTTTTCCACTTTTTGCGATAGTTGTTTGGCCCTGGCAGCCACGTGACTGATCCTCACTTTGGGAAAAATACCTCAAAGAGCTTTCTGGACGGTCTCCTTCATTCCTCACTCCATCATCACTGGTAAATATAGAGACTGCAACCCAGGTAGTGGTGGAGCACGCCGCCCACAGAACTGTAGCCCAGGGCCTCGGTCTCTGATGAGAACAAGGGGAAATGTGTCTGGAAATGCTGTTGCCAGCCCCTGACCTCAGTGACAAGTCCAGAGATTTGCAAGCAGCCCCGCCTCGGGAGCAGGGACAGAAGAGCTCTGTTCTGTGTGCTGGCGCCAGAGCCGCACCGTGCAAATGTCCGTGGGCTTCCTACAGAGGCTCCTTTGATGGGAAGCCGCTCCACCCAGCACATCCTTGCCGGAGAGAAACCAGACTCTCCTGGGACCTGAGGAAAGAGATGTTGTTCTTGTGCGGGATCTTCTGATTTGTCATCATTTCCGAGGGGACAGCAGCCGTTTAGGTCCTTAGACATGATCCTCGGTTACATTCAGAAGCAGAGAGCTGAAAACTGGTCACGACCTTGCTTAGGCTGCCTCTCAGCTGACAGAGCGGGAAACTGAGCCCAGCAATCATGCAACAAGCCCAGGGTCATGAAAGACTTAACGCTGCTGGTCTCATGCCCCCTCTCTGCTTTATCCCACTGCGTGTTCTGGTGAAGGAACCATTGAGCTCGGGGTTTTATGGATTAGAAAGAATGAATGATGTCTTGAAATGATCCCAGTTTATGGATGTGTTTTGGATCCTTGTTGGTGTCCAGGAAATAGAAGGTCTGCAAAATTCGTGCTTCTCTTTGTGGAGCTTCGGGGGCCATACAGTTATTTCACGTGTCTGAGCGCAAACTGCTACTTAGGTCTCGTCTTGGGTTAACGGCGCTGCATTCCCGTCTGCCCCAGTAGCAGCCATCCAGAGAACCAGTTCACACCGCAGGCACGTCAAAGTGAAGCACAGCAGCTGTACACATCCACCGAAGAGCTTGGCGGTTGCCTGGTTAGACGCAAGTTATTGGAGCCTCCGCCTAGTTCAGAGATTGGCTACAGGGCCGGGCGAGGGGAACAGCTCCTGTTACCTGTATCTGGGGCAGCTTTGGCTGGAGGGCATGGTCAGGAAGGGAAGGGCTCCCCTGCACTGCCACAGGCCTCTGTGACCCGCATGTGTGGTTAGATTCCTGCCCCTGGGGCCATGACGAGAGGCTGCCCCGCTGGAATACAGAGGATGCTGGGGTCAGGTGGTTCTTCTGGCTGACTTTGGAGAAGGTCTTCTGCAGCCAACCGTGAAACCCCAAACGTGTTCCTCTTCCGATTGTGACATTAACCATTCCCAGGTAATCTGAACAAAAGCAAAACATGAAAGACTCCACTTTCTGTGATTCTCCTGCCATCGGTTGGCTTTACCCGCCAAGCAATTTCAAAATCACCTTTTGAACAGGATGCTTCGTAAAGAGGATTAAAAAAAAAGAAATTTAACAATAAGCCCACTTTGTCTTAAGTCTGCTAACATTACAATCAAAATAAGTGTGGATTAATCTTTTGTTTCTGGTCTATTATAAAAGTAATAATGTTCATTGTGGAGAACATGGAAAATAGAGAAAGTTGTAAAATAAAGAAAATAAATATCCCTTATCCCATCTCCTAAACACACTGCCAACTCCTGATTGCAGGATGTTGTCTCTCTCATCCACTGCCATGTCCAGAAGCCATCCGTGTGCTTGGAATGGTGCCTAGGACCTAGTAAGTGCTTAGTAAACAATAAAATTTCTATCTTTGAATAAAGAACCATCGCTATTTTAGTGTATTAATTTCCAGTCTTTTTTCTATGCCTATTTTACTATAGTTCAGGCCCTATTTACAACATGATCTCTTTTTTTTTTTACTTACCATCATAATACAACCATATCTATATCACAAAACTCTTCATAAACCTTATTTTTAAAGATGTTTGATACATCTCATTTCTGTACTTATCTTCATCTCTCTAGGTATTTAGGGGGGATTACAATTTTCAAAGTGACTTTGCAAATAAGTCTTCACTTTGGACCAGGAGGCATGCTGGCTACGTCACTAGGCTCCTCTCTGTTCAGTGAGCCCCAAAGGGCTACAGAGTCTCATTTTATTTACTTCCACTGCCGTCCTTGTCATCCTGGGGAGCGTGAAGAATGGGAATAATGCTGGAGGGAAGGTGTGATGTTAGAATCGGATCACGACCTCAGAACTTGTCATTAAGCATCTTTTGAATATATATTATATGAAGCAATTAATTCAAGGTGTCAGTCATTATGCTAAGTTTTAGAACTACAACGTCTCAAGAATTCAACAGAACTAAACCACGTTCAGTAGGATCCTTGCTCTCCGCCTGAAGATTCCCTGCGAGCCTGGTTAATGGTGACTCTGTTCAGGCTAATATGGCGCCATCTGCTGCTGAGACAGAAAACGAGGGCCTGGGAAGATGAGTTCACTGATTTCAACACTTACATGCGCAAGAAATAAAAGGGAATTAATTGATAGGCAGTTTTTTACAGGACCCCCTTATGTCAGAACCGGTACAGTTTTAAAAAGAAAAAAGCTGTGAGCGGCCTTCTGGCCCCAGAGGCTCCAGAGTACACTTTTTAAACTCCCCCACCTCTTAGAAATGTCTATCAAAATTCAAAAAATATCTATGTATGAATAGGGAGAAATGCATGTCAGAGCAGGAAGCAAGAGAAAGGAGCCACTGCAACACGGAAGCCACGAGAACTTTCTGCATGATGTAGTGCAGGTGAGGCTGAACCGAAGGAAGGGGTCCAGCCTCTTGGGGACCCCATGTGAGGGAAATTCTGGGCAATGAATGGGACAGATGCCAGCTCAGTTGCTCTCTGTCAACACCTCAGTTCACAGCACCAGGGGTGGATTGGGGATGGGCTAGTGGGTACAGGGTAAGGGGCAACAGTTCTCTTGGGGGCTGCACCCGGTGCTGGCCTTCTACACACTCGGCACCTAAACCTAACCAGCACCCACAAGCCTGGCTTAAATAAAGGCAAGTAGGCCAGTTGCCTTTAAGGCGGGTGCAGCTGCTCTAACAAACCTCTGGGGACACTGAGCGGAAGTCCCAGGTAGCATTCAAGCCAGTGATCATTTCCAGATCAAATAACAAACACCCAAAGATTCTATACTCATCAGATCTTTCACGTGTGACGACCACAGAAAAACATTCTCAGACGGGCAAATATTCAGAGAGCTTTCCATCCACATAGCTTTCCTGAAAGAAAACACACACACACACTTAAGGATCATGGCAGTGAGTAATGAAGCCAAGATAATTCAAGAATCAAGCCAAGATCCTTGTGGCTAATAAAGCTCTGAAAATAGAAAAACACTACAAAAAGCATTTCTGGGAAGAGAAGCAAAATAGCTAATACCGTTGTCCTCAGTATCAGCCTCTATCTGTGTCCCACCGTCCTTGGTCCCTAAAACCCCACGGTGAGGAGAGGAACGTGAAAGAAAGTCATCTCAAATCCTCATCCAAGTTGAGGGAGAGTCGCAGGCTTTCAGTCTCATCATTGACCCCGACAGAGAAATGAGTCTGATGTGCTGCTTAACACATTGCTCCTAAACCCAGTACGTGGTGAGGTTTCTAAGCTGTTAGTCTAAAAAGAGAGCAAGGAAAATTTGATCATAATGGCAAGGTAGAAAGAGAGAACCATAACCAAATTTAACTTAAGAATGTTGATTTTGAAAGTCCTAAATGAAATTTTCACGAATAAAAATCAGCAGGATAAGAAAATCATAATCTCTCAAGAAAATCATCATCTCTCAAGAATGCATGGATGGTTCAATACTAAGAAATCCATTTATGTAACAGCTATTCAGGGAGGTTTCCAAGTGCCAAGACAATGGGATTTTCTTGATCATCTTCTCAAAATCACACCTCCCAGCGTCCCCATTCGTGCTGCTGTTTAGTTCTGTCCTTCAGAGTATTTGCCATTCCCTCTAATTACCTTTCATCCTTATGTGTTGGTTTGTTTGCAGCCAGTCTTCCTTCAGTAAAATGCCATTTCTCCAAGATGAGTGTCTTTGTCTGTTTTGTTCATGGTTCTGCTTCCTCGGTCCTGACAAGGACCCTGGCACGGGAGAGCTGGTGCATTCATTCATTGTGTGGTGCCTCAGTTCAATACCTATGCCGTATCTATTCATCCAATGCTTTTACTAAATGAGTGATGGTATCTATGAGTTGGTGGATGGTGGTGGTTCTGCACCCCTGTCCTTAGAGAGCCTGTAGTCTAGTGGGGGTGCAGACAATGCAGCAAGTACTTCCATGGCCAGTGTCAAAATCCCAGTTTTCTAAGTACATCGTTCTGTTTTAACGGACTTGCTGAATAAAAGGTGGGAATTGTTTTGCAGGAAGCATCTACAACTTCTCGAGAGAAGTCTGGAAAATCAGATGCCCAAAGTAGTAACTTCCTGCTTCCCAAAGCCTTTCACCAGAGGACACGCAGCAACTCGACCAGTAAGTGTGCGGGCAGACGGTCCTCAGGAACGGGGCTTGGCTGCTGCTGGGCATCAGGAGTGTCAGTGACGTGGGAGGTGCAGGGCAGGCGGGTCTCTGCTGCAGCTCGGCTCCCCCAGCTGGGCTGCAAGCGCTGGGGTGCGAAGGCCTGACGCAGAGGATGAAGGACAAGGGCTGTACTGCTCTGTCTGCTGACATGCTCGGTTCCAGGGCCTCCGTCCCCTCATCTGCTCCGGGATGGGAGATGAGGCTGGAAGGCGCCGTGGCTCTTGGTCGTTGCCAACAGTATGGCTGTAATGTGAAGTTAACTTGAAGAATGCAAAAATGCACAAAGAAATCAGAACCACACCAAATCCCCTTGTTAGAAATAATCTGTGCTAACATTTTCAGTCATTTCCCTCCTATGGAGACACACACACACACACACACCCCTTACTATTGGGAGCAGACACATAGTGCTTTGTTACATGAACGTGCCTCATCTCGTGAGCCAACTGCTTATTACGAGTTAAGTTATTCACATAACCAAGGTTGCTGAGTGTGTAAACGACATTTCGAGTTTGTGGTGATTGTCTCAGGGGAAATACAAAAAGCAGAGGATTGGTACGTGGCTAGGAGCTCACATTTGGGAGCGAGGTACTTGGATTCGGACTCTGCTTCCAGAACTAACTGTCTGCGTGGCCTTGGGAAGATCCCTTCTGCTCTCTGTCTCATATTTTTCTGTTGCACGATGTACATCTAAAACCTATCTGCCGGGCTCATTTCCTATCTTTGGACTTGCTAGTTGCTTTTTTTTTTATGGTAAATTTTCATTTTTTTCCCCCTTTAAAATAATTTCTTAGAGATGGAGTTTCCAAAGGTAAATGTACCTTAGATTTTGACTTGTGTTGCTCAATTTAAAAGCTAACATTCCAATAAAGTGTATGAATACCTGTTTCTCCAATCCTAGCCCATAGTGTATTATAATTTAAAAATATATATATTTGCTATGCATGTGTTTCCCTAGTCCCTTCTTCCTCCACCCATCGTCTGCATTTTTTTTTCTTTCCTGCCCTGCTTTGCACCTCAGACCAGCTACACAGTCTGGGGGGGGTCAGTGTACAGTGAAAACGGTTTGGATCCCTGTTCAAGAATTTCAAGGGTTTCACAGCGGTGACAGTGGAGAGACCGTCACAGTGAGCCAAGGCCCTTCCTCCCATGCACGGGGTCTGCCTCTGGGTGACTTCACAGGTCTCCTGCGCGTGAAGCCGGCCCTGTTTGCACCTCGGGCACTGTCCTGTTCAGACCCCGTCCCCTCATCCTTCAGTTCCTGGTTGGGTTCAGTCCACAGAGGACTGGAGGTTGAGAGAGCTGCTGGCTTGCTCCTCCCCGTCCCCTGTGGTCTGTGGTCTGACTGTGGTCCGTCCCTCTGCGACCATCAGTCAGGCGAGGGTGCTCGACCTCCGTGGCCCCACCACTCACCGGGCTGTGGTAACGCCGCTTCCCCCACCGCCCCTTGCTGATGCCGAGGTGTGCGGTGGGACCCGCTACTTTCCTAAGCCCTGTCTGCCGCCTGGTGAATGGCCCCTTCGGTCAGTCTGCTCAGAGACCTACCTGGCCGCGCCCTTTGTCTCCTGCCAAAACCCTGGCTGACACTCGCCTGTGGAACAGGTGCAAACAACCCCCCATCTACAGATAAAGCCAAACGTTCCCTCATTTATTTCTCTCTTTGTGAGTGTTTTTCCATTTTTGTGACCTATTTTTCTATTGCAATGATCATTTTATTATTAGTTCATAAAAAGCATCTTGGTTCAATTAACATCTGACTGTCATGATTGTTGAAAATACTTTCCTCTGTTTTTAAGTTTGTTTTTTTTTACATGAAAATGTTCTCACCTTTACAAAATCAAATCTATTGATTTTTTTTCCTTTCTAAACGTTAAAGTTACATCAAGAGGACTATTAAATATTTAGCTCTATTTTCTTCTAGGTTTTAAATGACTTACCTCTTTTTTCCCAGACTTACTTTATCTGTCACTTATTTTTGGTGTTTGATAAGAACCAGGAAACTAGGTAGACTTCTTTAAGAGGCCAGCTGGTTCCAGAATCACTTGTTGGTAATATTTCTGCTCAACCCTGGCTTCGCTCTTTTAGTTTATTTTGTTTATCGCTTGCAAATAATATGCAGTTAGATTCTGAAAGCACATTTGGTGACCTTTTTAAAGAGATGCTCCAACCATTGGCATTAGTATTTTAAATAACATTTGCTTTTATTTATCTTCTTTTTATACTTTCTGCTTTTATGGTCACATTTATTTGCTTGATTTCTGCCTCTTGCTATGTGTGTGTTTGATTTTTGCAGTGATTTGGGAGATTTACTCAATTTTTATCCTCACTTCTGGTTTCAAGATAAGTTAATTAATTAATCACTCCGATTTGGTTAATTCTTTAATACTTGATGCTATATTTTCCAAGTTACTCCCTCACTGAAGGTGATGTTTTTCATCTCAATTTTCTTTTCCCACTTCTTTTTCCATTTCATAAGTCAACTTAACCTTAAATTACAAACCTGTGTTATTATATAATCACCAGAATCATCAGAATAAATAGTTTCCCTTTCAGAAGCTATTTTGGCTTTTGCTTTGGTGTTTATACACACATGGTCAGTGACTTTGCTCCATGCTAGATGTTTAACTGCTTCCCATCCCCCCCCTGCCCCGGCTTGAGATGATAGTTTTGATATATTTCCTGTGGCCAGAGCACATCCATGTGTGATTTTCAGAAAGACCAGGGGAGGGCTCGGACCTGGGGGGCCTGCTCTCTCCTGGCCGGCTGCGGGCTTGTGTCCATGCTGATCTGAACCCAGCGAGGACAGGAACCGCTAGAAGCCTAAGGGCTGCCCGGTCAGGGGTGTGGGGGCAGAGCTGGAGGGGCCTGACAGCTCTTCCTGTGTTTGGGGGGCTCTGGGGCTGTTCTGTTCCCCCCGAGTTGCCCACCTGTTGCTCACCCTTGTCCCCTCTGGACTCCTACCACACCCTGCTGCCCTCCCGCAACACGCAGGCCACCTTGCTCTGCTGTGAGGCTGAGAGCGGGAGAAGGGGTCTCATTGCCCCCCTGGTAAAGTAAGGGGCTGAACGCCACCACCGTCCCCAGAGGCCTGCTGCTCCACTGGCCACATTGCCCCGGGAGCCCGAGACATAGTCCCAGAGCCCCCAGGGCAGGTGCGGTCTGGGTGGGGCATGGAAATCTGCCCCGCTTTGTAAAGCACCCCAGGTAAATAGGAAGCGCAGGCAGGCTTAGGACTTGACCATCTCTAGGCACGCCCCCCCCCAGGTCCGTGACTCTGTACCCACTCTTTCCACCCTCTGCAGCCTGCACCTGCCCCCGGGCATGAGAGGCCCCCGGTCACTCTGGTCCCTGGCTGCTGGGAGCCGGCAGCTGGCGGGGGTCCAGGTGTTCTCGGTTCACCTTGGCCTTTTGGGTGCACGCATGATTTCCTCCTTTTTCTGTGCGTGTTTAGGTGTGAATCCTTACTGCGCAGATTCTCCAGGGACCATGAAAGCCGCGGGCCCCCACGACGGGCAGCCTTACTCCCTCTGCAGCGACAGGAAGTGTCTCTCCCAACAGCTGGATGGTCCAGAGGGAATGGCTGCGGTAAGGGTGCAGGCGGGGACCCTGAGAATGGTGGGTAGGGGCCACACTTGGCATGGCTGCAGGGGCGCTCCTGGGGGTCCCGTCCGCAGAACTGCAGGGGGCGGCTGACATCATGAGCGGGGCTCCTCTGGGCAGAGAGCCACACAGGCGCTAGGCATTGTGCAACTGCAGGTAAAACACAGACACACCGCCGGTGCAGGCCCGGGACTGAGGCCCGGTCTCACCTGCGCAGTGACTGCAGGCGGCAGAGGGGGCCAGTCCCGTGTTGCGTGGCCTCCCTGCACGGGAAGCAGTACACACTCGCCTCACATCTCCCTTCCCCTTCTCAAGTGCTGTATTTTCCATTTGCAAACGGGGCACACTGGGGTTCAGTGCTGGGAAAAGATGACTTCCCAAGTCAAGGTGACTACACGGGGGAAACCGAGGCACAGGGGAGTTAACTCACGTCCTCAAAGTCATCAGCTAACAACTGGCAGAGCCCGGAGAACCCAGGCCGAGGGGGCAGAGGGGCCCCCAAGTCTAAGCTCTGGCCTGCAGGCTAGGCCCCTCCCTGGAGCGGCTTCCTGCGGTGCAGAGGCCCAGTCAGAGGCTCACCTGGCTCCTCTGAAGGAGGGCATAGCCGCCTGCCTGCCTCCCCTGGAATGTGCATCTCGGGTTTTCCCGGCACAAGGGGAGCTCCCTGTAAACGTACCTCGGACGCGGCTGGGAGCACTCTTGGCAGTTGGTATCTGGCCCCTCCTTGAAACTTTGGGGCTTGTTGTCCTGGCACAGTTTGGTTCACGAGCTTTAGGAGCCTCTGCCTGCTGGTCCGCAGGGCGAGGGGGCTCAGCACAGTGGGCTGCTCGGGCCACCAGGCCCCCACCCAGGCCGCACTGATCACCCTCCAGGCTTTAGGCCGTGGGCCCCCAGGGGAGGAGAGCTGGCTCCCCCTTAGCTGGCCTCCCTCCAGGCAGGCGTGTGCTGCCCAAGCCCGGCTTGGCCCATCCTGTCCCCACCCTGGTCCTCGTTGCAGGGCACATCGAGGCCAACGCGGTCGCTCAGCACAGCTCAGCTCGCGCAGCCGTCTGGGGGCCTGCAGGCTTCGGTCATCTCCAACATCGTGCTGATGAAGGGCCAGGCCAAGGTAAGCAGGGCCACGGCAACAGGGTGGACCCTGGGCCAACACCAGGTCCTGAGACGCTGCCGTGTCGAGGGAAGGGAGGAGCTAGTGAGTGGGGACCCCGGCCCTGGGTGTGAGAGCCGGGACGCGGCCGTCGAGGCTCTGGGAGGGTCGGCCCACTTGCTCTCACGTGCAGGTCGCGGCAGTGACAGTGTCCCCAGTTTATTGCTGGCATGATGTTTTCTACGAGTTAGGTTTAGCTGATCATTGAATTCAGATCACTTAAACAGTGTCTCAGTTCAAGCTACTGTAAGAAAAATCCCACAGACCTGGAGGCCAAAACAACAGACATGAATTCCTCATGGTTCTGGAGTTGGAAAGTCCCAGGTCAACACCGCAGGTTTGGTGTCTGCTGAGGTCTCATTTCCTGGCTCACAGGCAGTGTCTTCTCTCCATATCCGCTCTGGATGGAAGGGGAAGGGGCTGTGCAGAACCACTCATGAGGGTTCCGCCCCTAGGAGCCCTCCCAGGATCCCCCGTGATCAGCCCTAACCACCTCCCAGGGACCCCCAACGTGATCAGTCCTGACCACCTCCCAGGGATCCCCCAACATGATCAGCCCTGATTGCCTCCCAGGGATCCCCCAACATGATCAGCCCTGATTACCTCCCAGGGACCCCCAATGTGATCAGCCCTGATTACCTCCCAGGGATCCCCCAACATGATCAGCCCTGATTACCTCCCAGGATCCCCCAACATGATCAGCCCTGACTACCTCCCAGGGATCCCCCAACATGATCAGCCCTGACCACCTCCCAGGATCCCCCAACATGATCAGCCCTGACCACCTCCCAGGGATCCCCCAACATGATCAGCCCTGATTACCTCCCAGGATCCCCCAACATGATCAGCCCTGACCACCTCCCAGGATCCCCCAACGTGATCAGCCCTGATCGCCTCCCAGTTTGGTCCACAAGCTTCAGAGATGGAGTTTCCACCTCTACATGAATTTTGGGGGGACACAATTCATGCTTTCACCCTGACTTGTGCCCCACAGCTGAGAAGTACTGAAAGCAGGTAATAAATCAGTGGTGGTGGGACCCAGGCCTTCCGTTGCATCCCTCCCAGAAGGTGCTTCCCTGTGCCTGGGGCACACAGAAGAACTTCCGGAATAGACCTGGGCAGCCCCTGCAGGTTGTCAGGCCAGCCTGTCACCCAGGCGGTCAGTTGTTGAAAGGGAGGGCTTTGTACCCAGCTCGTGGAGTTTTGGTGTGTGGTGGAAAAGGGAGCTCTCATTGCTGCCTCTGTTCTTCTCAGAGGAGGGCCTCACCCCTCTTCTGGAGTCGTTTCTGTCTCTGCCTCTCATGCCTTCTCCGTCCTGGGAGCTGGGTGGAGAGATAAGAGAGAAGGCAGGAGTGAGACACGCTGAGATTGCCGCTTTAACCACTGGGAGTAACTGTCTCCAGGGCTGGTTCTCTGCAGACAGCCCCACTTTCTGATTGGTAGATCACAGCTCTTTCCCCTTTAAATTTAAGGGGAAGTGTTTTTAGAATAATTGACTTTTAAATTGTTTGCAATGTTCAAAATGAGGCACAATAGGAAGGGTACCAGAACTCATGCAAAGATGACCTGGAATGGTTTCATTTATCTTGGTTTGTATGGGATAAACACACTTTCTGAGAAAATGTGCCACTGGGCAGACTGAGCTGGCCGGACCCCCAAAATGCATTCCCTGGGCCCAACAAGCCAGGTGTAGCTCAGACTTCAAGGGCTCGCAGCCCCGGACGAGTTCATGAGACCCACGCAGGGCCCCCTGGGAGGTGGGAGCTCCTCAGGTCAGCAGGTGAGGCAGGCCACCATTTCCCCACTGCCTCTGGGTCCACCCCGGGTGGTCTGCTGACTCGCGGCAGGGCTGCAGGGGCCACACCCTCCCTCCTTCCGCTCCCCCCTGGGCCTCACTCACCCTGTCCCTGGCTTCCCCCACCTCTGGCCTTCTCTCTGCGGCCACTGGGACTGTCTGTGGGGCCTCCACGCCTCTCCTCCCCGGGCCACCTGCCCAACCCTGAGCTCCCAGGGCATGAGGCAGCTCAGGACCCTGCAGACAGAGCCGGTCCAGGGTTGGAGTGATGGCCTGGGAAAGGCAGGGGCCAGACACCCAGCGGAAGGCGAGCGAACGGCCTTGCTAGGAGAAGGGCTGCGTCTGCCTCGTGAGCTGCGCTGGTACCAGGCCGTTGGTGGGGTGTTTGTCGTCGGGCATCCTAGTGAGCTCTCACATGCAAGCCTAGGACGTGGGTGATAGGAGCGTCACTTTACAAGGTGGTCAGGTGCGGCTCAGAGGCAGGAAGCCTTCGGTCCAGAGCTAGAGGGGCAGAGCTGGGCCCCTCCATCCCCCCACTGCTCCGTTCAGGGAACGCCGGACTCCCGCCAAGGCTGCACGCGGCCCAGGGCGCTCTGGCCCCCGGCTCTGGCTTCGCCGCTCCTTTGAAAGTCCTGAGACCTCTTGGCAGAGCTCTGGGTCCCCTCTTCCCTGAGTCCTTCGCTCAGGGCTAGGGCAGGCCCTTAGGAAAGGACTGCGCAGGGACAGCGCGGACCCTCCTCAATCCGACCTGTCTCCCTCCCCCAGGGCCTGGGCTTCAGCATCGTCGGAGGCAAGGACAGCATTTACGGCCCCATTGGGATTTACGTCAAAACCATCTTTGCAGGAGGGGCAGCAGCAGCCGACGGAAGGCTGCAGGAAGGTGGGTCTCCTTCCCTTTGGCAGCGGGGGTGCTGGCTGAGGACTAAAGCCTGACCACCGGGCCTTGGAGGACATCAGGCCGCAGGCAGCGGCACGCCTCCCCCTGGCCGCGTCATGCTCAGCGCGCTGGCTGGCTGTGTTCGCACACTCAGTCCCGTCCTGCTGCCAGGACGCCCCCCCATCTCCCCTGCTGCCATCACCTGCCTTCCCGAGGTCCCCACCCAGCTGCTGGCATCCTCTGACAGCCACTCTCCTGCCCACTCCATGCCCCCTGGTCCACACCTGAGGGAGACCCAGCCCAGTGCTTCTAGTGAGCTGCGTAAACCTTCTCTGGGAGCCCGGGGTGCTCTGGGCTCTAGGGACGTTGAGAGTTACCAGGCAGGACCCCTCTTTTCAGGGGCTTGTGGTCTGCCGGTCCTGGTCCCGCCAGCAGCCTCCCCTCGGCTCTTCCGTCATCTCCTCGGGGAAAGGAAGCACCTGCCATCCTGAGGGAGGGGCTGGGCACAAAGCCATCCCCGGGTGCCCTTCGCTGTCTTCCTGTCCTGGGGGCGCAGAGTATTCTCTCCACCCCAGCTCTGCCCCACAGTCCTGTTCCTCTGATGGGGCAGTAGGCTTGGCCCCAAGATGCCTGGGGACAAAGTCAGCCAATCCCCTAGAGACCTGCTCAGCCCTCCTCTCTCTCTCCCTGCTGCCTTCGTCCATTCTGTGACTTGAGTTATTGTCTGATGTCCATGACCCCCAAATAAACAGCCAAGAGATCCCCAAGCAGTGGAGTGGAGGTGCGGGCAGCTGTGGACCAGAGGGAACCCCTGCAGCCGGACACTGGCTTGCACCCGGACCACAGCCTAGAGCGCCTCTCAGCGCCCCCACTCGTCTCCGCCAGGCCGGGGCTGTAGGCTACGCGGAGCCTGACGCTGCCGAGGGCCTGACTTGCCTGTTGGGCGCGTTGTGCCGCAGGCCACGGGCTGAGTCTGGCCCACCAGCTCGTTTTGCATGGCTCGCGGACGCAGAATGGTTTTTATGTTTCTACATAGAAAAGCCTTATTAGCACATGGCCACGCTCACCCACCTGTTGTCCAAAGCCGCTCTGGGGCCCCCCCAGCAGTGCTGAGCGGCTGTGAAGGCACGTGGCCTGAAGAGCTTAAACTATCTACTTTCTGGCCCTTTACAAAGTTTGCTGACCCCAGCGTCATGCGAGGGTGCGCATATGGATTTCATCGTGCGGGGGGCGGGGAGCATTTCAAAGGCTTTTAGAATCCGGGAAGGACCAGCTGTGACCAGGGCCTTTAGATGCTTCAGGAAGCAGAGTGTGGGATGACGTGGGCCGGCGAGAGACCAGGGGCCGCACCCCCGGCTCAGAGGCCATTGTGAGCGCCGGGCCGGGGCGCAGCTCTGAGGGGGCCCCGAGGCCGCAGGAGGAAGGCGCTGTGTCCAGTCTCTGTCGGGGGAGGCCGGGAGCGGCGGCTTAGAGACCTCGACCTGGTCAAACTCCCCCCGAACAAGAGACAGAGGAGGAATGGGGATGGGTGAGCCTGTTGGGGTTTGGGCAGCAGCAGCGCGCAGGCCGAGGTGTCCAGGCGGCCACTGGGCGGTGCTGTCCAGCAGCCAAGTGAAAACCTGTGCCTGGCTGGGGAACGTGGGGTCCCCGGCAGCTGGGCAGAGCTCCCTTACAGCCTGACAGGGTGCATGAAGGAGGCAGGGCAGCAGGGGCCCCGGGCGTGCGTGCCCCAGGGGCACGGCCAAACAGAGAGGCGGGTCAAGGGTGGGGATAGGCCAGGAGGGGGAAGAAACGTGCTGGAGGCTTGAGAATGTGTCGTTTTAGTGTCTTCAGTGGTTTTTCTGTGTTGGAGTAGAAGGTGGAGGAGTTGGAACAGCACGTAAAGAGGGTACTGGGTGTCGTTTTCTTCCCAAATGCAAGCCCGACTGAGCCTCGCTTCCTTCTTTCTCTTTTCTTCCTCCTGGGTTTGTGTCTCCCCTAGTTGATAGAAACGTTAAAAACTCAGTGAGAAAGTCATTCGGCTAGTCTGCAATCAATTCTAGCCTCAAAAACTGGACCAAATCACCTTCAGGAAGCAGAGTGTGGGATGACGTGGGCCGGCGAGAGACCAGGGGCCGCACCCCCGGCTCAGAGGGGTTTTAGAAAAGTAAAGTTTTAGAATCTGCCCCGGAGTCCATGTCCAAGCACATGAGCTGCAGCAAATATTTGGCGTTCACATCAAAGCTGTGCTCCCCTTCCAGAGCGGCGATGGCGTAAGATCTGTTTGGTGAAACCGAGGTCGGTCACCTTCACTGGCTTTGGCCAAATGAGTGAGGACTCTGAGGGGCCCAGAGTTGGTCCGGATGTTCCGACGCCTGGGAGAGGAGGTCAGCCTCTGTGTCCTTAGGAGTGGTCGTTCCCGAATTATGATCGTTGTATATCCATCCTTCAGGCAGAGTAGTTATATTTTGATCATCTTAAAGGTGTGTCTGTTTCCACTGCCCAGCCTCACCTCTTGATCTCATGGTTCCCCTCTCGGAATCTCGTGAAGACCAGGGCTGAGCCTCCCATTTCCGCTCCGGGTCCGGCAACCTGACCGATTCAGCCGGTCTGCGCCCTCTCCCCAGCCCACCTCCACCCTTTCTTTTTAGCACGTAGACATGTGGGATAAAATAGCACCTCTGAACTCCAGAGACAGAAATGGAAATGCTTATCTGCTGGGAAACAAGGAGACAACCTCAGAAGGAGGCCGTAGCAAGCTCAGGCGCTGATGACAGGAGGGGAGAAGGTGCCTCCCGGGCCTCGGGGCCGGGGACTGCGGCTTCAGTGTCCACACAGGACAGGGGACGTGGCCTTGGGCCCTGGGGAACCTCTGAGAACCTTTGCACAGAAAAGCTGCCCTCCTGGAAGGCCATCAGGCCTCAGGGAACAGCGAGGAACCTTGACGTTGCCCCTCAGTCTTGGATGGGGAGGTGACACCTCCCAGACCACGACTGAGCCCAGCCTGTACCGCGGCCACAGCTGGAGCCCCTACTGGGCACGGGAACCCCACGCTGAGGACCTCATGTTAACCCTAGTCCTCAGCCACTGACCCCCTGGGCTGCCTGCAGGAAGGAAAGGAAAAGGTGCTTGGCAGCAACTTGGGGTGTCGAGAAAGAGCAGCTCTCCTGAAAAGCGAGCTCCGTGTAATGGTCACACGCTCTGCGAGGTCTCGTCGGCCACCAGCGGGCCGGCAGAGGTAGCTGACGGGAGCCTGAGCCCTCACAGGTCAGGGCTTCAGGGCACCCCAGGGGGACCCCAGAGCCTCCCAGGCAGAGCGCTGCACGAGGGACTGGCCCTCACAGAGTTCTGGGCAGCGGGCAACGCCGGGCAGCCGGGCGGGGAGACCAGGGTTCAAGGCTGGGAAAACGTCCCTGATTGGACAACTTCTTAACTCCTGTTTCTCCCTGTTTCCCCAGGTGATGAAATTCTGGAACTCAACGGGGAATCGATGGCTGGACTCACACATCAGGAGGCTCTGCAGAAGTTCAAGGTGACCGTCTGTGGCCAGGATAGGGCCAAACTCTGGGGCCTTCAGACAAAGGAACCAAGCCCCCAGCATCACCCTCCTTCATTCAGACCCACACAGTCAGACCATGGGCTCCTTTGGGGGGACCCCAGGGTTAGAAAAGGACGCGGCTCAGGAAACAGTAGTGCAGTCTGTGCGGACTGTGTCAATTATTTAAGATTTATAGAACAGTTTTAAAACCTTCTACATATATAATATATATTGATGTATTTATAAATGTGCTTCACATTTTTAAGGAAATCACTAGAAAATAGTTCTGAGGCTCCTTCTAGTTAGCTCCATTCAAGACTGTCTATCTGGCATGTATGTACACATATGTATGTCCTCTACATGATGTCTTATCGTATATGCACATACGGACACACGGCCCATGTGCGGGCACACACACGTACACGTCACACGCACACGGCCCCGTAGCCTCAGAGAGCACCTCCTCCCGTCACTCTCAGAGGCAGGTTCCCGCCTCGCCCTGAGTTGCTGCTGAGCGGGTGGCACCCTCTCTTTCCTTCCAGCAAGCCAAAAAGGGGCTCCTGACCCTCACAGTGAGGACCCGGCTGTCGGTGGCCCACTCCCCGAGCCGCCGCCTGTCCCCGCCGCTGGCTCGCTCCTTGAGCTCCGGCACCTGCACCGCCAGGGACAGCGGCCCCCTCATCTCGGGAAGCCCCACGGCTCCTGCCGGTGCCTCTGAGTGCAGCCCCCGAGTCATGGTGGAGGTGTCCCTGGAGAAAGGTAGGGGCTCCTTCTGGAGGTGACGCCACCCCGCCTTTCCCTACTGGGAGTCAGTCCAGGGACAGGGCGGGAGTGGCCCGGGGGCAGGAGTCGCGGCCCCTGCTTAGCAGCCCGGTCTGGTGCTCTGTCGGCCTGCAGACGCCCGGACATGCCACCCCGGTCCGTCCACGTGTTCTGCTGCAGCAGGCACCGTAAGGCGAAGCAGAGAGGGCAGCTCACTCCCCAGGCCATGCCATAGATGGGCCAGCAGTGGAAGCCTCAGCGGACAAGCTAAGGGGCCCCGGGCAGCTGGCCTTGCCTCCCCGGTACTCATCTTCCTTCCTGGTGGCAGGGGACTTGAGGTCCTTTCAAGCTTGGTCACTGGGGGTTGACATCCATTCCCTTGCAAACCCCGGGCGGGCTGCCCTCTTTAATGAAGTGCAGCTGAGCTAAGGCCTGAAGGGTGAGGGGGACGCAGCTGGGCACAGGGCTGGGCCCTGGCAGAGGAAATGTCCTTCCCTAGTGTCCCCCAGCTCGGAATTAGCATCCTCACCTGCCTCACTGATGCCAACCCTAAGCAGTACCTGCCCCCAGCTGCAGCTCTGTGCGTATAGGTGGCATGGATGCCATCAGGACAGGGGGCACCAAGTGGCCCACGGCAGTGCTGGGCACCGGATGGGCTAGTATGGGCCCAGGGACATCCAGTCGCGGCCCCTCACCCCTCCCTGGCCTGCCTTCCAGAGGCCGGCGTCGGGCTGGGAATCGGCCTGTGCAGCGTGCCCTACTTCCAGTGCGTCTCCGGCATTTTCGTTCACACTCTGTCTCCAGGATCTGTGGCACATCTGGATGGACGACTCCGGTAGGTCCTTATTTCTGTTTTTGTTTAGAAAAGACCCCTGATTTGCAGCAGAGGGAAGGAATTCCTCAAATGCCAGGAGGTCAAGACATTTGGAAATGGCCCAGGCATGGCTCACAGCCTTGCTCCTTCAAGTGTGGTCCCTGGACCCGTGGCCTCGAAATCGCTGGGGAGCTTGTCAGAAACACAGACTCCCAGGCCCCTCCCCAGACCTGCTAAATCAGAATCTGCATTTTAACAAGACTCCCCAGGATCTGTATGCACCCTGCTGGTTAAGAGGCATTGTCTCAGAGAACACCAGCCCGATGGAAAGCATGAAGTAAATACTTTAATTCAGATTTAAGTCACAAAGAATTTATAGTGACCTGCATAGGAGCTTTGATGCTGTTTCCCTTGTGCTCAGGTAGATAAAGAAGCTTACTGAGCAAATTGGCAGTTTTAACTGTTTCCTGATGGCCTAACAAAATATTTTTCAGGCATCCCAGGTATATTTCTCTAGGAATAACTTGTGAAGAACAAATCTAATTGGCTTTTCCTTAAGTGACCTGAGATACGTAATAGCATTTTATCCCAGTTTTAACCTGCTGCAATACCTTATACCTCAACATCAGTACGTCTTCTCTCACACAGTATAAACTCTCATATGATATGACTTCACGTCTGTCTTCTCTGGCTGATTTTGGTTTTGCTAAATCAGGAGAGTGTGGCTGTAGATGGGGAAACTGAGCCACAGAGGGTGAGATAAGTTCAACAAGACCTCGCTTAGGGATCAAAGCACTTTCTGGAAAGGACCAACCAGTAACTATGTGGGCTTCACAGGCCTTAGCAATTTGGCTGCAACTGCTCAAGTCTGATGTAGCATGAAACTAGCACCTTCTGTGACTCAGTTTCCCCACCTGTGAAACACGGGAGCAGGATCGTCCACATACGATGCATCCCTGTTTTCTGCCTCACTTTTTCCCACCTCCTCCTGCCTTACGAGAATGAGTTCCACCACCGTCTCTCCTTAGTTCTTCTGCAAAAACTTCAGCTGCCCTCCACCCAGTTACCTCGTCCTTGCCTTTGAGCACGTACTGGCCCCCTGCGGGAACCCCGCGGGCAGACGTGATTGGTCAAGTCGCGGTGAATTGTTCAGCTGGTGATGTCGGTCAAACTGCGCCCTTCATGTTGATCGGGGCATTTAAATGGGAACAAGAGGAAGGCCAGACAGACTTGAGCGACGCCCGCCAGGTCCTCACTGCCCCCCGCTCTGTGGTCCCGCGGGGAGGCTGGGCTTCGCTGCCCTGGTCTGAGTTCCAGTCCGGCCGCTGAGGGCTGCTAACCGATGTGGGTCTGAGGTCTCATCAAACAGCCCAGCCAGGAGTGGGACCCCAAGGAAGCCACCACCCAAACGCCCTGTTGATCAGCTCGCTGACGGCTTCCTGTTGGTGCTTTGAAAGGTGTGGTGATGAGATTGTGGAGATCAATGACTCCCTGGTGCGCTGCATGACGCTCAATGAGGTCCACGCCATCCTGGGTCACTGCAGTCCCGGGCCAGTGCCCATCACCGTCAGCCGCCATCCGGACGCCCAGGTAGCCCCCCGCCGCTGGCCCTCTTCCCAGGCTCGCTCTTTCAGGACCCAGGTTGGGACAGGGAAAGGGTGAGAACGGAGATGTTGCTGGCTGGGTTTGGACCTAAATTTCCAAGAACCGGTTCCGAGTTCTGCAGCAGAGTCCCACTGACAAAGTCCTAGATGCCAGAGGCAACGGTCATTAGCCTAGGGACACTCGTGCCTGGGTGCCACGGTCTAGGGCAGGAAGATACAGACCTGGGGCCCTTCTGCAGATGCGAGAGAGTCATTCACGTGTGCAGCCAGGGGGTACCCCCAGGTGGCTGTCTGGAACTCGGCTCTGCACATACCGAGGTAAGCAAGTTCACAGGATACCGTCCTGCACAGGGTCTCGTTGAAAAGACCAACACAAAAATAAGTGCAATATAGCGTTAAGACCTTGGAATACAGGGATATAGAAATGAAGGTTATATAGAGCAAGAAATAGCAGGAGCTAGTTTTCTCCAGGCAAAGAATCTGAGGAAGGCTGGATCGGGCAGTGGGGACACAAAGCTCTAAGCTACGGAGTCACGAAGGGCCTGTCCTGGGAGGTGGCAGGCTCTGTGCAGCCGGGGTGGAGGGTAGTGGGAGAGAGGCTGAGCACAGAGATCGGCAGGCCTGGGGTTACGCCATGAAGGGTGTACACAGGATGCTAAAGAGCTGGCAGTTTATTTCGTGGGCTGTGAGGAGTTGAGGGAGGTTCTGTAGCTATGGATGTATTATATTCAGGTCCTATTTATTTTTCAACCTTTGGAGGCACTGTGGAGGGCAGGGTGGAGTAGATAGAGCCCGGATTTTGTAAGAGAAAGGAAATGCATGGTGAGGATCTGAACTGCACAGCGGGCATGGGAAGGTAGAGAAGAAGGGGTGACAGGCAGCCACCCTTGGGGAGAACCAGCAACATCTGCTGGCCAATGAGCATGGGGGGCCCCAGACGGCTGGACGGCTTTAGATTGGATGACCGAGTGATGCTAATACCACCAGCAGCAGAGAGAGTGGAAGAGGGGCTGAGCGGGAGAGGGTGAGCTCGGTGTGGACACGCGGAGGCCGGGGTGCCTGTGGGCGTGCCGTGGGGGTGCCTGGCAGGCAGTTAGATTTAGGGCTGATGGCTGCAAGTGGGTCCAGGTTGGAGCTAGACTTGGGAGCTGAAGCCCTGGGCCTCGCTGAGATCGCTTCGGGGCGGTGGTGATAATCGCCATGACGGCTTGTTAATCCTCAGTGTGCGCCAGACACGTTCACCAAAGATGCGGCCCAGACAACTGCATTCGTTGTTGGGAGGCCCCCCGAGTCAGTATGAGTTTCCTTTCCAGTTCAGAGGAGGACACGGAGGCCCAGGAACAAAAAGGAACTTGCCCCGTGGTGGAGCGACGAGGTAGAGCGGCGAGGAGTGAAGCCCACGCTCTCGGCTGACGGGCTCGTGACCCCCGTGGAAATGGGGCGGAGAATGGCCCTGCCTTGTGGGGTGGGATTCACGCCAGCCCCACTCAGTTAGACAAGCCCATGGGGAGAAGCAAACTTCTTACTTCTAGTAAACAGGGAATTCATCTGAAGCATCTGGGCCTAGAAGAAAGGAAAGGGGATGCGATGGGTTCCTCGGGGCCCCTTGCTGCTCTGGAGTGGAGAGGGCGTCAGGGCGCAAGGCCCCTGCCTGGAGGGAGGGGTGTGTGCGTGCGGGAAGAGGGGGCCGAGGCCCAGCTGCTCGACCAAGAAGCCAGGTCCTCAGGGTCAGCAGGGCAGAGACAAGAGGGTCAGGGCGTGGGAGCAGAGTGCCCGGCTTGGGTCCGCATCACCACTAACTCAGGGTGACCTTGGACACCCGTCTCATCTCTTCTTCAACTCTGCAACAGCGGAGAGTCCTACCCCGCTGGGCTGCTGCTGAGTGTAGCTCATCTGTTAGTTTGCTGTTTGCCAGGTATAGTGCCCAACACTGATTTATTCAGTGTTACTACTTTTAACCGCAGTAAAACACACAGGCATCACAGTTCTGGCTTCGCAGTTTTTAAGGGTATGAGGTCGTTCACAGTGTCCTGCAGCCACCGCCATCCATCTCCCCAGCGTCTGAAACCCCACAGCCGTTAGACACCAATTCCCTCCCTTCCGCAGCCCCCAGCCCCCGCCCCACGTCCTGTCTATGAATCTGACTGTGCTGGGCACCCTGTGTAAGCAGAATCATACAGCATTTATCTTTCAGTGACTGGTTTATTCACTTAGCATAATGTCCTTAAGTTTCATCCATGTTGTAGCAGGTGTCAGAATTCCCTTTCTTCTTAAGGCCGAATAATATTCCATTGAACGTGTGGACCGTGTTTCGACCACCCATCACCTGTGCATGGACACAGCTGCTTCCATCTGTTGGCCACTGGGAATGATGCTGCCCTCGCAGGGGTGCACATGTGGCCGTTCGGCGTCCTGCTTTCTGCTCCCTTTCGGATGAGTATCCGGAGCGGAAATGCTGGGTAGTATGGTATTTCCAATTTTAATTTTTTGAGGACCCTCCTTACTACTTCCCACAGTGGCCGTGCCATCCTACACTCCCGCCAGCAGGGCACAGGGGTCCCAGTTCCCCCACACCGTCATCAGCACATACGGCTTCCTGTGTTCTCGTTTTCTGAGAGCAGCCGTCCTAGGGGTGCGAGGTGGTACCTTATTGTGCTTTTGACTTGTATTCCCCAGACGGTCAGTGATGCGGAGTGTTTTTTCATGGCTTCACTGGCCATTTGTACATCTTCTTTGGAGAAATATCTATTCAAGTCCTTTGCCCATTTTTAACTGGCTTCTTTGTTTTCCTGCTGTTGAATGGTAGGAGTTCTCATGTATATTCTGGATTATAACCCTTTATAAGATACGTGGTTTGCAAGTATTTTCTGCCTTTCTATGAGTTGCCTTTCATTGGTTTGATTGTGTCCTTTGATGCACCGAAGACTTTGATTTTGACGTAGACCAGTTTATTTAGTTTTTCTTTAGTTGCATGTTCTTTTGGCGTCAAATGATCTATTTTTTACAAACCCTCTGTCCTCACTGTGAAATAGGTTGTGTCACTGTTATTGTTTCACAGAAGAAGCCGAGCTTGAGCAGGTAGCTAGCTGTCTGAGGGCACATGACTGGTAAGAGAGGAATTAGGACTCGAGCACAAGTCAGTTTGTCCCCAAGACTCATGACCCAGGGTGACGGATGACCTGTGACAATAAATGGTGAAGGCCACGGCTGTGGCATTAATGGGGACAGTGATGCCACGGCGGCATTGCCGAGAATGGAGTGGCTCCCAAGGTGAACCTCGAAGCGGACCTTCACCTAGAGCTTGGCAGCAAGCAGCCAAGAGAAGGTTGGAGGGTTGGGAGGGGCCACCTTGGAAACCCCTTTATGGACAGACCTGGGGCTTCACCTGAAAGATACCAGGGAACAATTGATGCCCTGACATCCACAGGGCATTTCTGAAAGTGGAATTCGTCAGCTATTTGCAGAGAGAAGAAACCAGACTTCAGGGGCCCAGCCTGAGGGTGGGTGCAGGACTCGGAGCCTGGTGCTCCCCCTGTTTTTGTGAGGAGGTGACCACTGTTTCCTAGGTCTCCGAACTGCAACTCAAAGAGGCTGTGACCCAGACTATGGAAAACACCAAGTTTGGAAAAGAGAGGCATCAGTGGAGTCTGGAAGGTAGGAGAAGTGATGGGCTTTGACTTGCGGGCTCTGCCTTCTCAGAAAGAGCAGGGTCAGCCCTTAACTCGCCCTCCGCCCCGGGAATATGTAACGTCGACACAGGCAAGCAGGGGACCGTGGCTGAAAGCTAGCAGCCCACCAGCTAAATCTGGCTCACATTTTTGCTTTGCTTGGGAGGCACAAGATTTTAAAAGCATCTGAATTTGATGAATTATCTAAATGGCACTTCTGGTTCTTCCTGGTTCCCACTGTTCCCTGTTTTAGACCAGGTCACCCTTCACTCCATCGCCCCTGCAGGCGTTTCCACCCCTTGGTTCGTGATAATGGACTCTTTAGAAATGATAATATCTAGTAATGTAACATCTCGTATTTATTGAGTTTTTATAATGCTAGACACTAGGCTAATTTATGCATTATTTCACTAAATATTTATATGTAATTGCTATGGGAAAAAGTGAGGCCCTGAGCATCCCCCTCTCTCACAACGTTATCTTGCGGTGCACAGAGGGCCTGGGACGGGAACCAGGCTGGTCGACTCCAGCGCCCAGCTGTCAGGCCTCGTCTGGGCCAGCATGGCACGTGTGATGGAATAACATGAGGCTAGAAAAAGATAGGACATTTTAACCATGTTCTGCCATTTCCACCCACAACATACATATGTGCTCAGGAAAAAAACACAGAGAAACACCCCAGTATTCCGAGAGTGGGCATCCCTGGTGGTAGGACTGCAGTGGGATTTCTACTTTCAGCCCTTCCTTTTTGTGCTGAGATTTTCCTAATGAGGGCCACTATTTTGTGCCTGGAAAAAACAAGGGCACGCGTTTTTCTTTAAGGAGCATTTGAATTCGAGGTGCTGACCTGGGTTCTCTGCGGGGCTCCCCACTCTGCTGGCCTCACTAACGAGCTAGAATTCGCGCAGGAGGCTGGACATCACTGCTCCCAACCCTTTGTGCTGTGATTCTAGGAAAGGGACATTGACAGTTCACCCCTAGAGAAGGGGCCTCTTGCGGCTGTGCGGGTGGGCTGGGTGCCGGGAATATGGGGATGGGACCGGGAAGAGGTGACGGCGGGAAGGGGGGCGCTGGCTGACACACCCCCCGGGGGGCCAGTTGTGCTTCCTCCTGGGCTGGGAAGGAGGGGTGACCCCTCGAGGCAAGGCTCAAAGTGCACTCAAGGCTACTCCCCCTTTTTGATGTAGAGCCTCCAAACAGGCCCCATGACTGAAATTATCCCCACTTTACAGATGTGAAAATGGAGCGCTGCAGGTTGGCAGGGAGCCGACACTGAGAGGGTGTTTAGCTGCAGGGTGTCAGTGCGGAAGCATTCTGGGGACAGCTCCTGTTGGGGAGAGGGGGGCAGCAGGGCTGGGCAGAGAAGTGGAGCTGAGATGCACACCTGGCAGCTTCATCCCAGGGGCTCAGGACCCCTCCCTGGGCCGCAGGGGCTCTGGACCCCCTTCCGTGGACCCCTGGAGCTAAAGCAGCCCTTGAGAATGGTTCTGTTGGCAGAAATGGCCCCTCCTTCGTAGCTCCATCTCCATCAATCAAAGGAAAGGAGGCGCCCCTTGGGTGACAGGCCTCTGTGCCTCTGAGGCAGTCCTGGAGGGCTGATGCGTGCAGCTGGCCTCCTCTGGCCCTCCCCACAGGTGGACACCACCCTTCCTTGATGGGCAGACTGGGGGGCATCTCTGCACCCATCACACGGGGATTTAGCAAAGGGGAGTGGGTCTCCCAACCTAAAGTTGTGCAGCTCGCCAAACGCAGGGCAGCCAGGCTCCGGAGTGGCGCGAGGTGAGCTGTCAGCCTCGGGGAGCAGCGCGGCCCGGCGCCGTGGAGATCAAGGCCGGGGCGTGCCTGCCGCCTGGAGCTCAGCTGCCGGGGGTCCCGTGTGCCCCTCTGCAGGTGTCAAGAGGCTGGAGAGCAGCTGGCACGGGCGGCCGACGCTGCAGAGGGAGCAAGAGAGGAACTCGGCGCCCCCGCACCGCAGGGCTCGGGAGGTCGTGGTCCGCTCCGGCAGCGACGGCGGCTGTGCGCCCGCGTCCCCGGCTGGGGGTCCCGGCCGCTGTGGGGGGCAGCAGCCGGCGGGCCCGGACGTCAGCTCTCCCAGGCCCAGGGCCGAGCTGCCCCTGGGGCAGGAGCCAGCGGGGCTTCCCGCGGCCCCGTCCAGGCCGGCCCAGGAGAGCCCGCCCCGCCCCGACGGCCAGGACGGCCACCCGCCCCTGAGACTGAAGAAGTCCTTGGAGATTTTGGTGAGGAAGCCCACGTCCTCCAAGCCCAAGCCGCCACCCAGAAAATACTTCAAGAGCAGCCGTGACCCTGAGACGGGTCTGGAAGAGAGAGACTCTGCCCCGTGCCCTTCTGGGCACGCCTCGCCCGCCTGTGGCCAGGTAGGAGGCGTCTGCCAGGTGGGGGGGTCTCCAGCCGAGCGTGGTCGGCCTTGAGCGTTAGCAGCTGGGTCCCAGGGGGAGCGAAAGTTTCTCCTGCTCCCTGGCAGAGGCGCTCAGCTCCAGCCCGGGCCGACTGCAGGGAGGTAGCGCTGAAACTTGGCAGACACAGAATTGGGGGCCCACTCCTGCGGAGGGGCTTCTGGGCTCCCATCAGAAACCCTCCGGGAGTCAAGGCTACTTTCACATGGTCACTGTTGGGCTCCCTCCCGGGGCACCGTCGGAGCCCCTGAAGGCCGTTCTGCCAGGGGCCGGGCAGGGGACTTTTGCACACAGGCCTGCAGGTGTTCTGCTCGCTGGGGGAAGGTTTGCCGGAACCACTGAAGCAGGCAGGAGCTGGTTACCCCCTTCGGGGAGCAGCCGGCACGCTCATGAGAAATCAGCTCCCCTGCCTTCCTGCTTCCTTCCGGGGACGTGTGGGGGCGACGTCCTCCGAGCCTCGGTTTCCTTCTCTGTTGACTGGGGCTAAGGTCGGTGGCTTCCTCCAAGAGCCGGCGGGGATTCAGTGGAACCGCTCAAGCGAGTGGCCGCCAGCACCCCCGTGGCCATGTTTGTGCTGTGTGGGTTCCTCCCCCCAGGCCGCCTGGAAATCTCCGTTTCCTTCCTCTGAGGCGCCTCCATCCCCTCACAGAAGGGCAGGCCGGGCAGCTGCCCCGTCTCGGGCCATTTGCAGGCGCCGGCACTGGGCTGAGCGTGTCACGTGCACCGCCTCAGTTAAGCAACAGCGGGATGTGGGTCCGGATCATGCGAAGAGGGAACAGAGGGCCTTGCTCAAGGTCGCGCTGCCCGTGGGCCGCCCCTGGGTATGCTCCTTGCCGTCCTCCCCTCAGCTGCCGCCCCAGCGGGGGAGTGGGGCCTCTGCAGTCCCTTGAACAATCGAGCATTAGGGTTGACAAACCTCAGAAGATGTGGAACCGTGGGGTGACGGTAGGGGGGAAGGGCTCCGGCAGGAGGTGGGGGAAGCGAGAGGGGCGAGGAGACCCCGCCCTGAAGAGGAGGTGCAGGCTCCCCGCACAGGTGAGATGCGGGCGGCGGCCATGCCAGCCTGTCAGGGGGCTCTGTCCCCAGCTCCGCCTTCAGGCAGAAGTTCCATTTTCCCCTGGGCCTGAGACCTGGGAGTCCAGGAGGGCGGATGGGGGCTGGAAGGTGGGGAGCCGGGCTCCTGGCCGTGCCCCTGGGGACCCAGAAAGGCGGAGAGGCCTTGCCTGCGGGCCACCTGCCAGGCTGAGCCCTGCGAGAGTCAGGGGGTGAACCCAGGCGAGGCGGCCGGAGGAGGGGAGGCCAGCAACAAGCTTCCCATGGGCGCATCCTGCGAGCAGCCTTCCTCGGCCCGTGCGCCCTGCCTCTTCAGCATCCGTGGCTTCTGCCTGCCCCCCACCTCCTCTGCTCCCCGTCACTCTGCTGTCCTGTGTGGCCAACGTTTTACAAAAGCCGGACCCGCACAGTGCAGTCTGCTGGGCTGAGGGGTCACAGAGAGCGGACGCTCGCTGGGGCTTGGAGGACGCTCTCCCTACCAAGCCCGCACCCCTGTCCTCTTTGCTTCTCTCCCACTCCCTCCCTCACCCATCAAGCTCTGTGCTAGGAAGGACTGCACAGAGGAACACTTGAGTCAAATCAAATTTATTTCAGGGACTAATTAAAAGCAAATCTCATGAAGAGAACGCCACGCCAAATGTGTGAATGAAAAGACAAAAGACACTTGCTGTCTGTGCCCAGATGCAATGTGGCTTTGACAGTTCTGGTTGGTACCAAGAGCGTCAGCCTGTGAAAGTGCCCACGACTCTTGGATGCAGACAGCTGCCACCTTACCGAGCTCCCAGCAGGGTGCAGCTCAGTCTCAGCCACACGGCATGTCTCCTGCGGGGGGAGGGTCCTAGCTAGCGCCAGCCTGCTGTGGTGAGATGCTAACACCACGGCCAAGCCTGGCCTTCTCAGGGACGCATTCACGGAGCCCCCTGAGTCCTCCGGGCCGGTCGGTCTCAGTGCCTCCCGAAGGCTCCCCTAGAGCCCAGCTCCCGGAGGGGCCTTGGCTGGGGCGATGCTTTCTGAACACGTTTCCAGCTTTTACTGACCTTCCATTCTCGAACAGTTTTACTGTCAGTGTGGGCATCAGATCTCAGCCCACAGAGGCTGCCACCCCCTGACGGCCCAAGACGATGCTTTTGTTCATCCTGTCTTTCTTCCTCTTGAGGGGAAGCTTGCAGCCTTGTAACTAGGTCCCCCCTACCCCGTGTGACTCGGAATGAGGAGAGGCAGCCGGTCGGGTCTAGCACGCGTTTCTCTTGCAGACAGTCAGGCACAGGGGGCACCGTTCCTGAGGCCGTCTCCCTCCTCTCGTCGCCCTGGGGGTGGGCTTGCACTCGTTCCCCCCACAATAGGGTCTATGCATTGGGGGCAGTCTTCTGATTCTCCCCTGGAAAGTTCTTACACTTCGTTCAAGGACCAGACAAGAGGCACCCCCTAGGGAGCCTTCCCCGCGCCTCTGGGACAGAACTGCCATGCTGCCTCCTCTGGGTCCTGGCAGCACGTCACTCGTGCTGTATGGAAGCCCAAGCTCTGGTCAGTCGCCAGCCGCCTGTAATGGGCCTGGTCCATCTCGTCCCGACGCTGCGTCCTGCAGGCACCCCGGGCTCCTGTGGTTCTGTGGGGAGAAGCAGTTCTCCACGGACTGGTCCTGTCCCGCTGCGGGCAGCTGGGGGACCCCAGCACAGGCCCGAGCCCTCCTCCCCCTCGCAGCATGCTTACTAAGCACCCGCGTAAAGAATACAGGGTCCAGAGCAGGTGACCCTCCCTTCCTCCGGGACTGTAGCCTTAGCTCAGTGAGGTGGCGGTTCTTTGCCCACCTGCTTCTACCCTGTCTGTGCCTGGGGGGCAGCTCAGCGGGAGCAGGGGTGACTGGAGGTGTACCAGCCCCCGTGGACGCCCCAGGCCACTTCCTGCACACAGAGCCCGGGGCCCACCTGTGTGCCACGGACCAGGCTCTTGGAGGCGCAGGGGAGCCCTGGGGTGCCGAGTGCAGCGTCAGCTGTGGGCAGGACTCTCCTGGTGCCGATGAGCCCCCCATGCAGCAGCCGGGCAGCCGCTCCCCGGCCCCACCAGGGTAAGTCTAGCCTGCTCAGCCCCACTTGGGTCCCACTTCCTGTTTATGCTGCAGGAAGCTGCGGGGATGTTAACATCACGGCTGCCACCGGAAGACACGGCTGGGACAGTCCCCCGTGCCGTCGCCTGCTGCCCAGGACCTGCAGCCGACCCGCACCCAGCGCCCTCCTCGGAGGCCCAGCCGGGCAGGAGAGCAGCCCCCCCAGGTAGGCTCCCGTCTGGGCCTCCCAGAGGAAAGGCCTTCTGGGTAAAGGCCCGGTGAGGAGGGACGGATGTGACTGTGGGCCGAGGCCTGCAGGTTCTGGGTTCTGCTGCTGGACCTGGAGCCCCGAGGCATAGGGCAGCGGGCGCTGTCCTGGGTGGGCACCTCCTGGCTGGACTGGTGATGCCAAGTGAGGGCCAGTCCAGTCAACCGGGGAGTGGGGCCTTCAGGAGCAGGTCCCTAAACATGTCCATCCAGCCATCCTGGGCGCTGCCCAATCTCTAGCGTGTTGGGTCCAGGACTCCCAAGCTGGAGGGCACAGGGCCAGAAGAGCAGGAAAAGTGTTTTGCTGGTGGCCCCCACCTCGGAGAGGAGAAAGGGGCAGAGGGACAGAGGAGGAGAGAGGGGATGGCCAGCTACTGCCATCAGGGGGCTCCCCAGAGTGGCAGGGAAATAGATGCGTGGGCAACCACTCCGCGCCCGCTTGGGAGACTGCATGGAGAGCGCGGGGAGGGCTCCGGGGGGCGTTATGGATGGAAACGTCTGGGGCATCTCACCCCAAGCAGGCGCCCACCCCGCTTCCCGATCGGGGCCCACACTAGGACGCACTCTGCCCGGCGTGAGGGGCTTGCCTGCAGAGCCTCTGCCGAGCGTGTCCACCCCAGCCCCTCCGCAGAGCAAGTCTAGACCAGAGCCTGGCCGAGGAGTCAGCAGCCGCCAGGACTTCTGGGGGGCGCAGTGTCTCCTTGATGTGAAGGCTGATGCTCTGCGTGGTTTGCTCCCCTGAGGCCTGGCATTGAGGCGAGGGACAGGAGGGCTCAGTCCTCCTAAACTGGGGTGCATTCTGGTGTTCAGCATCCCCGGAGCAGGAGCCCAGAGCAGCATACTCCTACCCCGAGGAAGGTCAGACCCGGGGGCCGGGGAAGGGCCGCACATCCACTGGCTTCTTTGCTGTGTGGGGCTCGGGGCCTGCCTCCCTCGGACCCTGGGAGAGAGTCAGGCAGGGTCCCCTCATACCCTGAGGGGATACAGGGCCGGCGCTGGCTTCCAAGCAAGACCCCCTCATGCTGCTGTGGTGGGGAGTGGCTGAGCTTGGCAAGCCTGCCAACAGAGCAGCTGGGAATCGGCTGCCAGCTTACTGCTCTGGCACTCAGGCTGCAGCTCGGGTGGGTCACACGTGGGCGGAGGGAAGGCCACTGTAAACGCCAGTGTGCAGCCAAGGTTGGGAACCTGTCACAAAGCCTTTTTCTCCCGGGAGCCTGCCTGTCAGCCCTTTAGGTGAGGAGACCCCTCTGTTGAGTGAGCCACTCAGTGGCCCGAGAGGACAGGTAGTTGCAGTCACATGACTGCGGGGCCCACGGGAAGCGTGTAAAGGGGTGAACCGCTGGGCTGGCCAGGGAGAGAGAGTTCATGACTTAATGATCTGGTGGTCCAAACCAAACGTGCCTGCCAACTGGGGTCTTTGGTTTAAAAGTTTAAAAGGTAAGAGAATTGCTTTTGCTTTTTACATTTTCAATGGCTTACCTGGGAGGCTGCTTAGTGCGGCTGGGAAGGACGCAGAAGGCAGGGAAGTCGGGGGACACAGGGATCTTGCCCCGGCTCTGCCAGCGGGCGGCCCTTGCTTCTGAACCCTGCATCCCTGAATTGTCATGACAACTCCAGAGACTGGACCAGGTGGTCTCTGTGAGCCCTTCCAGCTCCAAGACGCTAGGGCGCCGTGAAGGTCACTCCAGCCTCGGGTCCTAGTGAGCCTGTCTGCTGGCACTTCAGTCGGGTAATAGCCCCTAGGTCCGGGGCTCTCCCACGCAGGGGTCCACCTCTCCTGCTGACCTCCTCCCCTAGAATCCTCCTTGCTATCGGCTTTGAAACTAGGACTGGGACGAACACTCACGTCCAGGTGTGACGCCTGGCACCGGCCTCGTTTCTGCCCCACAGTGACCCACCCGCTGCTCCGGAGGCAGGCTCGGATGGACTACAGCCCCGATACCACAGCCGAAGACCCGTGGGTTAGGATTTCCGACTGCATCAAGAGTCTGTTTAGCCCCATCATGAGTGAGAACCACAGCCCCATGCCACTGCAGCCCGCTGCCAGCAGGGGTGCAGAGGGGACGCAGGGCCACCCGGCCGGGACCCCGCCAAAGCTGGATGCCCCCAGCGGTGCTCCCCAGGTCTACAAGTCGGCCGACAGCAGCGCCGGGAAGAAGGGTCCTCCCGTGGCCCCCAAGCCGGCCTGGTTTCGCCAGAGCTTGAGAGGTTTGCGGATTCGCGCTGCAGAGGCGGCCGCCTGCACTCAGCCAGCGCCCGCGCCCAGGGGCCACCCGGGGCCCCACACACGGGCCGTCTCCTCCATCAAGCAGAGAATCAGCTCCTTTGAGACATTTGGTGCCTCTCAGCTGCCTGACAAAGGGGCCCCGAGACCAAGCCTCCAGCCCTCCTCGGGGGAGGCGGCAAAACCCGGGAGGCAGGAGGGAAGCAGGGTCTCTGGTCCCGCAGGGCAAGGGGCTCCCCACTCCGCTGTGCAGCTGATGCCGCAGTGCCATCCCAAGGCCTCCCAGGCCAGTGAGCCAGGTGTGGCGGGAGCCCTGCCCCCAGGACAGCCAGCCGCTCAGGAAGCCCTCGCCCCTGACACCCACCCGCTCCTGCGGCTGCTGTCATCTCAGAGTGAGGACGTTCAGGGCCCGGTCGTCAAGGCGCCCAGCCAGCGGGCACGGAGCTTCCCCCTGTCCAGGGCGCAGTCTTGGGAGCTGAGGTCACAGGACGAGAAGACCAGCAGGCTCTACTCCATCAGCAGCCAGGTGTCCTCGGCCGTCATGAAGTCCCTGCTGTGCCTCCCGTCCTCAGTCTCCTGCAGCCAGACCGCCTGCGTCACCCCGGAGGGTGCCCCTCCAGCACCGCTGTCCAGGGAAGGCCCTGCGGCGAGCGGTTCTCCAGAAGCTCCTGCCTCCTGCCCGGACTCGGGGTTCTCGCTCAAGTGAGTGGCTCTGCCCAGGGCCCCTGCCCTCTCTCCTCTCTCTGGGAGCCCTACCATCTGAAAATGTCTCAGGGGTACTGAAGGCGTGTTCCACCTGCCTCTGCACGCACGGTGTGCGCGTGTTGCCCCCGCCTTCCGTGGTCTTGGCCGGGGCGGGAGGGGGCGGTGGGACCTGTGGGGACCTGGAGAGCTGATGTGTATCCAGCAAGCCCTGCTATTTCCTGGGAAGGCCCGACTGCGGCCAGGAGATGACCCCTGGGGCGTTCCTGCTGCCCCCGCCCCACAGTGCGGCCACTACGTTCCGCTCATGGGGTCAGACCCTGGCACTGGGGGTCGGGACGTCTGGGCCCTGGGCCCAGCTCCGGAGCTGACTCCGTGACCACAAGCAGGCTCCGTCCACGCCTACCCAGGTTTCCCCTTCACTTGAAATTAGGAGGTGGGCGAGACCTGCCCCACAGAACTAGGGGCTCCCAGAAATGCTTGCCAGGGGCTGGGCTTCTTCTCTTAGACGGGGTTGCCCTGCACGTACCAGCTTCGTTCACTGTTCCCGCACTGCTGAGAGGGGCTTGGGGCCCCCTGACCCAGACGTGCCATCAGGTTCCAGCGGCTGCAGGCCAACCGTGGAGGGCCGGGGCGGTCCTGGCAGACACCTAGAGCAGGGTCTGAAGAGCCCACCCAACTCCCATAGCCGGTCACAGCTGGTCAGTGGTGGGACGGAGCCCTTGGGCCTTCCGCATCCCGTCGCTGGTGTTTTCTGACTGAGAAGCTGTTCCGTGGGAGCCGCAAAGCTCTCCGTCAGAATTTACTGCTGTGGGACCCCACACCTCTTAGTGGCAAAGGTCTGTCAGTAGAGGGAGGGGTGCCCTCTATTACTGAAACCACAGTTTCATGCAAAATAAGAACTGTAGGTAGGAAAAATAGCTGCAGATGCCAGGTAAGTTCAGAAGAAAAAGCCAGGCCAGACACTGGCCGAGTGGGCGCCACTCGGAGTTGTCAGGGGCCAAGGTGGCTTCCAGGTGCGGACAGCCCGTAGGGTGGGGAGGGCAGAGCCGAGTGTGTCTGCCCAGCGCCGCCCCGGCGACCGCCTCAGAGCCCCGCTGTGACCCCACAGGAGCCGTGGTGCAGACATGTCCAGAGTGTCAGCTGGGCTCTGGGCTGAGGGCTTGAGGTTTGCAGCACAGACTTGGGAGTCCTGCGCTGAGCTGTGATTCTGAATCCGGATCCCAGCACCTCATAGCCATGTGACCAGAGGCAGGTCATCTGCCGCTTGAGGTCCCGGTTTCCTCATCTCTACAGTGGAGGGTGCTGGTATCTGCTCACAGATCTGTGGCATCCAACGACAGAATGCGCATAGCTGCTTAGCCCCAGGCCCGGGCTGGAGTGACTATGCAGTAAACGCTAGTTCTTATCGGTGTCATGATTCACACCACGTGCTCTTTCTCCACGAAAGCCTTTCTGAGCTGCGAGAGTACACGGAGGGTCTCAGCGCGCCCACGGAAGCTGACGCCGGGGACCACGGCTCCCCTCAGGCTGGCCAGTCGGTCATCTCCCTGCTGAGCTCTGAGGAATTGAAGAAACTCATAGAGGAAGTGAGGGTTCTGGATGAAGCAACCTTGAAGGTAGGCTTCCTTCGTAAGCACTATATGACGAGACCTTACTGTGAGCGGTGGGGTCCCCTGGGGCCAGCAGCCACCCAGACCCAGGTACCCCTGCCCATGGTGACAGCCACTGTGTCCCTGGGCCACAGCAAGACCTCCCACTTGGATGGAGATTTGTGGCTATGAAGTGTTCCCAGTCATTGACTAACTGCATCTTTCCGACCATTTTATAAATGAGAGAGGTGATGTCAAGGTTGCAGAGCCTCAGTGTTTTTCTCCAAGTTTAGTGCTATTTCCACGGCCCGCGGCAGCTGGCCTGGCGGGCGTCCCCAGGGGCAGTCTTCACGGGAGTCACTGTCCTCGTAAGCAGCCTGGGCTGTGAACTCTCACCCACGCTTCCCCTGAATACTGAGAGGGGATAGTTCCCGGCCCCACGCTTCAGTCCAGTCACTCTGAAAGTCCCACTTCCCGTATGCCTCTGAGTACACCCCGGAGGTGCGGGGGAGGAAGTGGGGGCAGGTGGGGGCCAGCTCAGCTCAGCTGAGCATGGGCTCACAGGCCTGGCGCCCTCCTGGCACGCTCCAAGTCTGCATAGGAGCTTCTGGCACAGGAACCAGCCAGACTGGGATGAGAAGCTAAGGAGGCATCACAGAGGAATTCTCCAGGCCACGGGGGAGGTGAGGCCTGGGGTGCACAGGATGCCCCGGACTGCGGCTCCTCTGTGACGCCCGCTCACCGCCTGTTACCAGGCCCAGCGTCCTCCGGGGCCTTACTCCAACCACAAAGAACTCTCTGGCCTTGGTGTTACTGGGAGGGCGTTTGCTTTGCAACTTCACAAAGGCCTCTTGCGAGTAAGCAGATCCCCGGATAAAAGCTGGGAGATGTGGGCCACTCAGTGCTGGGCAGAGGCGGGATAGTGAGGCACACGCATCCCCGCCATCCCTCCTGGGTCTTGGGGTCAAAGGGTCACGGAGCATCGGGTGTCAGCACACGTCACTCTCCGACATGAGGTCATTCTCTTGCGCCAAGGTACTAACTGGTGGCCTGAGAGCCATGTGGACCTGCAGGTACATTTTATTTGGTGTGCATGGTGATTTTTTTAAATTATTATATTTAAAAGATTATAAAACCTGAGTCATAATGTAGCTTTTTGGCTCCTTTTCCTTAAAGGGAATGGTCAGATGGCTTTGGGCCTGTGTTGCTGTGTAGCCGCTGGTCCTCGTGAGCAGGAAATGGGCTCTGCACTCCTCCACGGCCAGTATCGTTCCTCGGTGTCTCACACCTACCCATTTTGCTCCTTGAAGTGGCCTTCCTGGCCCCTGCATGCGTTTGAGTTTGAGACTCCAAAGGGGCCAGAATGAGTCTCTGACTTCAGTGCAGGGGGATTGTCTTGGTGCGTGGGAGCCCATGTCCAGGCTGGGAAGCACTGTGTGCCTGGGGAAGCATGTGTGTGCACATGTGTGCAGGTGTGGGCATGCATGTGTGTGTCCAGGTGAGTGCCCTGTGCTGCTGTGGTGCTCACGGAGGAGCAGGCGGAGGAGAAGCAAGTGGTCTCTGCAAAGCAGCGCGGACCCCGGGCGTGCCGACTGGAAATCCTCCAGGCTGGCCCCGCCCCACGCTGAAATGGCAGAGCTGTTACCCAACAGGCTGGGATTTCCAGCTGACCTAGCGCAAGGCGTGCAGGCCTGCTGTACATGTGTGGGTGTAGATGGGGTAAGAAAGGAAAAGAACTTGCATCGCTGCTTTACACACTCTTTTCTTCCGGGCTTCCTATGACCCCAGACGGCAGAGCCCTCTCTTTACGGACAAAGCAGCCCTGAGGACGTGGTGCAGCTTGGAGCACGGCCGGGCTGCGGATGGAGATCAGACCGGCCTGATGTCAAAGCACTTTTTAGATCGTTCATGCTGTCGCAGTAAAGTGTTTTTCTAATGTATGCAATTTCTTCTGCAGCAATTAGATAGCATCCACGTCACCATCCTACACAAGGAAGAAGGCGCCGGCCTTGGGTTCAGCTTGGCTGGAGGAGCAGATCTGGAGAACAAGGTGATCACGGTGAGTGAAGCGGTCCAGAGGTGGGGGCGTGTCACAGCCAGTGGTGGCGGCCCCGGAGGTGGGACACTTCCAGGAGGTGCTTGTACCAGGCATCGGAGGGACGCGTGACACCAGGCCGCTGGCAGGCGGTCAGGGGAGCATGGTAAAGGGGGCCGTCAAGCCCTGTCCTTCTTGAGAAGCAGAGCGACTATCACCCTGATCACGAATCTTCATTTAACAGACGTCTTGGAATACCGCAAGCCACTTCGATATGCCCAAAGAAGTCAGAATTAATTGTTTTTAAATTTTAAAGAAATTAGTATCTCAGCCTCAAATCAGAACTACTGAGTCAGAATTTCTCAAGGTTGAAGTCTAATGCCTGCAGTTTTGAAGGTGCTAGAGGGATGTTTTAAAAACTCAAACCCACTAGCTGTCACTGAACTGCATACTTTAAAACGGTCCATTATATGCTACATGATATAACAGCACAGAAAAAAGTTCAAAGCAAATTTTATTCAGTGTCATGTCTGTCCTTCTGGGACGACAGACCCCTAGCCTGTTGCCACCAGACATTTAGACAAGAATAACTTATGAGCCAGGGGCCGTTGTGGAAGGCAGCACAGCCAGGACTGGAGACCTGGCCGCGATGCTTAGCCCCGCACACCTGGAGGGAAGGGGCCTTGGGGAGGCAGGTCCCGTAAGGAGGCTGCCTGCCTGGCACTACCCACTGGGAGAGCAGGGATGTCAGACCAGTCTTCGTGCTGGTCTGATGGCTGGCTGGGGGCAGGGGGCCAGGAGCAGTTTCTGAGCCTGGCCCAGACAGTTTCTGGTCACCCTGCACAGCCCGGGGCTGAGGCACGTTGTCATCTCATGGCTGTGTCACCTCAGTACATCCTTTTGGTGGGTGCGTGGATTTGTTTGCCAGCAGAAAACAGCCCCGTGGCTCGCAGCATCAGTTGGCGTCAGACACACCACGCCCGCTGGCCACTTCAGTACTGCCCGCGTGCGAGCAGCCGCCTTCTGGCCGGCGAGCTCTCCACCGTGAGGACGGGTTTCTGTGGCACGGGGAGCACACAGCTGAGCATCACAGAGACATTCCCGGGTGTGGCATTCGCTTCCTTGGCAAAGAGAAGAGAAGAGAGCTTGCCTGAGTGCTGACGTCTCTCCGCCCCTTTCGGCCACCACCCGAGACCCCGCGGCCACTCAGGGACCAGGAGGAAGGGCCTGAGCACAGACTTCCTCCTCCTCCCGTGTCAGGGTGCTTCTGCTCCATTCCAGACCTGTGAACGGGCAGCTGACGCTGAGCACAGCTCATGACCCAGGGCCACGCTGGCCGCTCACTGACACGCCACCTAAGCTCGCCTGCCCTTGTCCTCGGGACGGGGAACTGGTGGCATTTATGCTCCTTCTAGAGAGGCAGGACCTGAGCGGAGGGCATCACCGCGTCTGAAGCAGAAGTCTTCTGACACCGAACAGTTCAGAGACAAAGACCCTCATTCACACAATCACGGCAAACCGGCTCGTAGCGCGTTTCAGTGCCTGCCCACCCGCACACCCGCACACGCTCGCCGGGTCCTTTTGACCTTGCAAACCAGAATTTACCTCATTAAAGAGAGCTAGCCAAAGACATTTTTTTTTAATTCCACATATTTTTCAGAAAGGGGGCTAGAGGTGTGGTCCCTTTTAACTCAAGTTAGAGGATTAGAACTTATGGGAGGAAGCCATAAAAGTGGTGTTTCTCAAAAATGCAGAAGATGGGGCCTGAGGATTTCTCGATGCAAAAAAGGATTCTTGGCGGAAACCCTTTTGCGGGTCACTGAATTAGACTGCTTCCCCTTAGAGGAGCGTCATGCAAATTTACATAGCAGAGTCTCTGGGGCTTTTTCTGTATGCATTTTCAGAGCTTTTCTTTTATCCAGTATTATTAATGTCTTAGATCTTAGGAATCTTTTCATAGATAATCCTATTAATATAGCACAGAATCGGTGCTCAAGGAAAGTCCTCTGGGAAATGCTGACATAGAGCAGGTAAGGCAAAGCCTGCACTAAACGTTCAGCTAGGATTGTGGTCGTGCAGCCTAGGACGCTGTGCGGGGAGCGATCCTAAGCCAAGCTGGCCGTTGTTGCTACTGTTCTGTGCCCGGGGAGGCCCCTGTGCCAGCAGCCCTGATCTAGGACACACTTAGCTTGACTTTCTTGGGCCTCAGAATCCTCTAGGTTTGACCACTGGCTCTGACCCTCCTCCAGCAAGAATCTGGGTCTGATGCCGGTGACTCCCTCCGGTTCCCTCAGGTTCACAAAGTGTTCCCCAGCGGGCTGGCCTCCCAGGAAGGGACAATTCAGAAGGGATATGAGGTCCTTTCCATAAATGGCAAGTCCCTCAAAGGGGCCACGCACAACGATGCCCTGGCCCTCCTCCGCCAAGCCCGGGACCCGCGGCAAGCCGTGGTCGTCACAAGGAAGCTGCCTCCGGAGGCCACGCCAGACCTGAACTCCTCCGCGGACTCCACAGCCTCGGCCTCCGGGGCCGGTGACATTTCCGTGGAATCCAGTAAGTTCCCCCAGCTCAGCGGGAGCCCAGTGGGCCCCGTCACCTCTGGCTACGTGGGGCCAGTCCTAGTGGGGCTGTGCAGTGATCCGTGGTCCCAGGGATGTGGCCTGCCTCGCATGCTGCCTGAGACACCACTGAGCTCACTCGTGCACCTGCAGGACTCCGCGGGCGGCAGCCGGGCTTGTGGGCTGCCCGGGCATCCGAGGCCCAGACAGCAGGGCGCCCCTAACGAGCTCTTGTCTCCCTCACAGCGGAGGATGCGGCGTGCACGCTGACGCTAGAGAAGACCTCTGCAGGGCTGGGCTTCAGCCTGGAAGGAGGAAAGGGCTCCCTGCTCGGGGACAAGCCTCTCACCATTAACAGGATCTTCAAAGGTGTGTGCGTCTGGCTCCGGGCGGTCTGTCCAATGATGGGTGTCAGGCCAGGCCCCCACCTGGCTTCTGAGTATCTTCTAGACCACGTAGCGTAGCGTCCCCACAGCCCCTCCTGGGGGCAGGCAGGCCTTCAAGGGCTCAGTGCTGCCTTCCCTCCCTTCCCTCCCTGGCCCAGACACCCCTTAAACTGACTGAGGCCTGGGCTTGGCAGGGCTGGGACTGGGGCGGGGCAAGTGAGGCGCAGTCCGGTTCTCCCCTTGCATAGCTGGGCCTCCTCGTCCAGCTGACTGGACAAGTCGGCATGAGCACAGGGCTCGGAGTCAAGACGCCGGGGTCCCCTGGATTCTGGCGTTGGCCCTCCTCCTTGCTGGAGGAGGATCTGAGCCAGTGGAAGCGTGACCTTGGGACAGTCCCTTTGCTATCCTGGCCCATGTGCCACACGGGATGTGCCTCTAGCTGCAGGGGGAGGTGGTACCAGGGGACGTGGACCCTGGGCTCGAGCGCAGGCGCCCCCTTAGCACCTCTGCCGTGTATGTCGCCCGAATCCTCGGCTCCCTCGCGTGCACACACCTCAAGGGACCACCGCCATGAACGCGGGTGACGGCACCACGCTGTAGGCACACCGCCGGCCGGCACGCCCCGGTTGTCACCATTGCTGTCATCTTTAGCTCCTCTTCAATATATGTGCATGTCATTGTGTCAAATGGATGGGAAGTTTTCTTTCAACCAGTGAGACAGCACTTTCCATATGCGGCCCCAGGAGTGTGAGAGCCGTAGGTGAATACGCCCCCCTCTCTGGGCCCAGGGGCTTCTCCAGGCCGCTAAGGGCCACGTGTGCCGTGAAGGGGAGGGATGCCGGGTGTATCCGAGGAGGCTGTGAAGAGGATGTGGTTCCCCAGAGTCCCCTAGACCCGGCCTGGAGCTGCCCGGAAGCCCCTCCCAGGGGCAGCGGAGAACCGGAGGCTGGTGATCACCTCCAAGCACCGTGTCAGGAGACGTCTCATTTTTGAACCCCCGACCGGCTCCTGGGGGTCGGGCAGCCTGCTCCTTCCGGGCTGCCCTGGCTTCTCAGAGACCAGGGGGAGGTCACTTTCCTTGCTGCCCGTTGCCCATGGACCCCACTCTCTTCTTCTTCCTCGTCTCAGGGGCAGCCTCAGAACAGAGCGAGACGGTCCAGCCAGGAGACGAAATCCTGTGCTTGGCTGGCACTGCCGTGCAGGGCCTCACCCGGTTTGAAGCCTGGAACGTCATCAAGGCTTTGCCTGATGGACCCGTGACGATTGTCGTCAGGAGGAAGAGCCCCCAGGCCGAGGGGCCGGCGGCGGCCGGAGACTGCTAGGCAGTGCGCGCCTCCTCACAACCGCTGAGCTCAGGGTCACTGCCAACCCTCCGCCCAGAGCGGGGACAGCACGGTGTGCTTCCCGGGGCTGCTGCCTGGGTCCAGACCTCCTGGGACACTGCCCAGCAAGAGAGTTGTCCCAGCGGCAAGGGCAGTCACGCTGGGCGGCCGGTGCAGACTGGACTATGCACAGAGAGAGCTGAAGGGTGACACTGTGGTGCTGTAAATAAAGTGGATCTGTGACCGTTTGTTACGGGATCTGGGTCCTGCCTGCAGGTCTTCTGTGGCTGCGCAGGGACCCAACCACCACAGCAGTAGGTGTTCTGCTCGTGACCCCGCAGTGCGGGTGGCCTGGACAGCTGAGCTCCTCCCGCTGTGCTCGGTGTCGGCTGGAGCCCCTCCAAGGCCGGGGGCTGGGACGGCATGAAGGGCCATTGCTCACACAAATGGCGGCCTACACTGGCTGGTGGCTGGGGACCTGGCCACTCCAGGTGGCCTCGTCCTGCGCCTTGGGCTTCCTCACAACCACAAGTGTCCCCAGAGGGCGAGGGCCAGGCGGGAGCCGCATCCCCCGTGCAGCCTGGCTTCCTTAGGTGACAGCTCGGTCCCCCTGGGTGGCATCCGGGCGGGTGCAGCTGAACAGAAGGGAGACACGGCACGGGTTGCTTTGGGAAACAAGGGGCTTAGATTAGTTGGCATCCTGCCTGTGGCCTTGTGCGTCCCGTTCCGAATGATGTCAAGCCCGAGATACTGACAAGAACTTTGAAACACTGTATGTACCAGCTCTTTAGATTTAGCAGGAACGCTGAAGTGAAGGGTGTGACTCAGTTCAACACGCACTCCCAGGATGGCACGGAGTGCCTGCCTGAGGCCGGGCCGTGGTGAGTCAGAGGGCACACCTCACCCCAGCCTCCCCCGTGTGCACACTGATGTTTCCCATAGCCAGACTGGTTCTGATCTCTCAGCAAGCAGCAGATGAATGTGGACCAGCCCGGGGACGGGGGATGGCTTTCCATCGGGGCTACAGGTGGTGGCACGGATGAGCAGTGCTGGCCACGGGCCTGGGACACGGAGGAAGCCTTCTTGGGCGACCAGGCAAACCGAGTGAGCATGTGAGGTTTGTCTGAGGCCTTCCGGGTACCTCCTCCTGTCTCCCAGGGGCCCCTGAGGACACTGCCAGTGCCTAGGTTCCATGCCCAGGTGAGGGGAACCAGGAACCAGCAAGAAGGTCCTAAAACGAAAGGTTCGTCCATTTGAGCGTCCTGAGGCAGGGGGATTGCGCGTGAGGCCCGGTCTCCTCAATCAGCTTTTGCAGAGCTGACAACAGGCAGAGTGAACAATGCCAGGTAAACAACGGCCCCATTCATCACAAACTCTCCATGGAAATGGATCCGCCACCCAAGGGCGTCTCCCGGGAGCCCTTCCCTGGTTCCTACATCCTCTCATTTGCACCGACTGGTAAGAAGCAGGCTACACCGGGTTTGCATTTATGTCCCTGCAATTTCTTTTAAAGATGAGAAGTCAAAACAGAGGAAGCTTGGCTGTCCGAGAGCCTAACCTCTAAGTGGCAGGGACCGGATCAGATGCGTGTCCTGTCCTGGTCCGGTATTCAGACCAGCATAGCCAGTGCCAGAGGACAGAGCATCAGACGGCCCCAGCAGGACGTGGCCCCGGAGCTGGCAGTCCCCCTGCTGGAGGGGAGCGCAGCGGCCTCATCTCGTGAGGTTGCCACCTTCCGGGCTGCTCCTGAGCTGGTGGGCTCGGAGCTGGCTGGGCCTGGGGAACTGGCTCATGAGGAGATGTCATAGAACAGTGCCCGGCACAGAGTGGGGACCTGCTGAGCACTTAAGGAATGAAAGCAATCTAAATAAATGGAAGAGTCCGATGAAGATTTCTTGATGAGAAGAGGGGGTGAGCTGGACAATCTTGGTGCCACACCCATGGGACCGTTAGTTGCACTGGAACAGAAAGAAGGGCCTTTTGAACTCCTAACTCTGAGCATTCATACTGCAAAGCTTGCTCAGACCTGGGCACGTCAGAAGGTGCTCTGGGGCTCAAGGCGGAAAAGGAAGTTCCTGGGACGTGGGGCAATGTTTTCCACTTGGAGGAGTGAAGATTGAGGTACTCTGGGAATTTCCTGCAGACATTAGGAACCTGAGTAACTGCAGCAGGAGGGACACCGGTCAGACCCATGAGGACCCATCCTTACCAGAAAGGTGGTGGGACGCAGATGAGGGTGATGGACGTGGACAGAATTCCACACAGGACGGCATGGTCCTGACCTAGGAGAGGGGAGTGCTGGGACTTCCAAGACCTCTCCCAGGTGGCAGGGCTAGTTGATGGATGTACGGGGTGGGCAGAGCCCAGGCAGGGTTTTGCAATCTTACTGCAGAGCCTAGAGGGGGGATTCCAGCCAGTGCCACTGGAGGGGGACCTGCTCTTCCATCCTGCCTGCTGGCAGCAGCGTGGGGGTGACCAGGGCCTGGAGTCCAGAGGACCCCTGCCCCAGCCTCCACAACAAGAGGGGAAAAGGTAGATGCCCCAGGCAGAGAAGGTTCTCTGAATTTAAAGCTCCACATGCAGCTCAGAATCAGTTCCAAGAGTTCTCTCCCCCGAGGCTGCGGGCTTGGCCTGGGGCAGATTCAAACTGCCTGGTTTGGCCAGGGACATGAAAGTCAAAACAGGAAGAAAAAAACAACCGATCCGAATGGGAGATACAACAGGAATGTTTAAAGTATTCTTCCTTAATGCTTATCTCATCTTTAAAAATATTTTCCAAGTTGACATCATGTTAAGAGGGAAATACTGTGAAATGTTACCAGAAAAATATAGATGTGGGTCTGTGGCACAGCTTGGGGAGGGTTCTAGATGCTCAAAAGGCAGCAGAGCCTGGTGTTCAGTGTCCATGGGGATTCTTTTTGACAAACAATGTGGTCTTTATAATAACTGGCATGGAAGAGGGATCGGTGTTTATCACAGGGCAGGGGCTGGGTATGGGGACCTGGAGGCCTGGGGCCCCCCTGTGCTGGGTAGGTGTGTATCCGCTGAGGGTGGGGTACCGTGTGGGGCAGGTGTGTATCCGCCGAGGGTGGGGTCCCGTGTGGAGCAGGTGTGTGCGCACCGAGGGTGGGGTCCCATGTGGGCAGGTGTGTGTGCACCGAGGGTGGGGTCCCATGTGGGCAGGTGTGTGCGCGTCGAGGGTGGGGTCTCATGTGGGGCAGGTGTGTATCCGCCACGGGTGGGGTCCCATGTGGGGCAGGTGTGTATCCACCGAGGGTGGGGTCCCATGTGGGGCAGGTGTGTATCCACCGAGGGTGGGGTCCCATGTGGGCAGGTATGTGCGCACCGAGGGTGGGGTCCCGTGTGGGCAGGTGTGTATCCGCCGAGGGTGGGGTCCCATGTGGGGCAGGTGTGTGTGCACCGAGGGTGGGGTCCCGTGTGGGGCAGGTGTGTGCGCACCGAGGGTGGGGTCCCGTGTGGGGCAGGTGTGTGCGCACCGAGGGTGGGGTCCCGTGTGGGGCAGGTGTGTGCGCGCCGAGGGTGAGGTCCCGTGTGGGCAGGTGTGTATCCGCCGAGGGTGGGGTCCCGTGTGGGCAGGTGTGTGCGCACCGAGGGTGGGGTCCCGTGTGGGCAGGTGTGTGCGCACCGAGGGTGGGGTCCCATGTGGGGCAGGTGTGTGCGCACCGAGGGTGAGGTCCCATGTGGGGCAGGTGTGTGTGCACCGAGGGTGGGGTCCCGTGTGGGGCAGGTGTGTATCTGCCGAGGGTGGGGTCCCGTGTGGGCAGGTGTGTGCGCACCGAGGGTGGGGTCCCGTGTGGGGCAGGTGTGTATCTGCCGAGGGTGGGGTCCCATGTGGGGCAGGTGTGTGTACAGTGAGAACAGGTACCCTGGTTGGCCTTTGTGGAGGCCAGCTGCCCACCAGCAGATTCCAAAGGGTGAGACTGGCCCTCGGGGCCTCCCAGGCCCTCCAGTGTCCCAACACCTGGACCTCCACATCAGCTCACGGAGTTCTTGGCCAGCAGCGGGAAGGTCAGTGCCAGAACCTCGTCACTGCCCTCTGCAGGTTGGCGTAGAACACGGCCATGCTGCGGGGGAAGAAGGAGTCCACCACGCTCTGCGGGAGGAGCCCGCTGAGGTCTGTCTGGAAGAAGGTGACGAGCCGGGTCTGGCCGGGCGCCCTGTGAAAGCAGTGGCGAGTTAGGGCGCAGGCACAGGGCTGGGCCAGGCCTCGGACAGGTGAGCGCCCCAGAGAGAGAGGCCGTGCACCCTCTGTACCTGCTGGCCTTGGGCTGCCTGGCCTTCTGCAATCCCCCGGGGCTGTCGGGCTGGGTGGAGTCCCTGCCTCCTGCCCAGGAAGGTCACGCATTCCCTGCACCCCAAGGCACTGGCCCAGGCCTTTGGAGAACCCACTCTGCACCGGCCCCGGGGGAACAGAGACGCGGGTGTGGCCCCCAGCCCACGCAGGGCCATGTTCTCCGCATGTGCCGGGAACCCCGGGTTCCCGATACCCTCAAAGGGGTCTGCGAGGTCAAAGCAGCACTCGTAACAGCGCAGAGACGTGATCGACCTTCTTTTCATTCTCTACGAGGGAACGGTGTGTGACGTCACAACAGACTGGCTGCAGAAGTGGACATGGGCTTCCGTTAGGCCTGACATTCAACAGATTTGCAAAAAATGCAAAACCAGGCCGCTCTTTGTACTGGAGCTTTTTTTTTTTTGATAATTATTATTATTCATAAACATATTTATGTTAATATGAAATAAATGTATTATTTTTATTTTAAAATAAGTATTTCTGAATGTCTCAGTATTAATTGCAGGTATGGCAGACACTGACAGACACAGTCCATATGAACAAGAAGCCCTCCGATGCCCTGGACACTGACTAGGGATGTGACAGAGCCCTGGACCGAGGATGTGAGAACGGCTGCTTCAGAGAGCCGACCACCTAGCTGGGCCTGTGACGGGGGGACTCTGGCCAGGTGGCGGCAGGAGCCCGGAGGGAGGGGGAGAAGGTACACGGCTGGGACCCTGGGCTGGATGTCCGCAGGCAGGGCCCCGTCCCCAGCCTAGCAGCTCAGGGCTGAGGGCGGTGAGGCCCACCAGCCAGAATCAGATTCAGCGAAGGGCACACGTGAGGGGGGATGGGGCACAAGAGGTCCTCCCCGTCACAAACTTCCCAATGGCCAGGACAGCAAAGGCCAGCTTTGTGGGGGCTGCTAGGCACTTTATTTGAATGGAGTCTTCAAGGGCATCAGGAGCCCCACACAGCATTGCAGCTGCCCATCAAATGCCTCCTGCCATCACGAGGACCACAGCTTAGAGCTGGAGGCCCTTTGGAACCTGTCGCCCTCCCAGGTGCACAGACAGGGCAACCGAGGCCCGGGGAGGGACGCAGGGGACACGGCAGCAGGCCGCCTGTGCACAGAGCTGACCTTGGGGGCTCTCTCGGCACTGCCCTCTCTGGCCTGGGAACGTGAGGAAGGGGGAGGTTTCACTGGGCGACCAGGGCTTCCCCAGGGTGGGCACCGAGCTCGGTGGGAGGTTAAACATGGCCCGTGTGGGACGAAGAGACCCTGGTTATGAGAGTGGCTGCGTGGTTCTTGCTGGTGACCATCAGGGACCTTCACAGAGTGGGCAGAGCAGGCTCAGAGAGGTGCCAGAGCTGGAGCCGGAGGCCAGGATAGGAAAGGGTGCCCACCGCCCACAATGAGACCCGAGTGGGGTGCAGGCTCGCGCTCGCCAGGGCCATGCTGCCTCGCTGGGCCCTGGAGAAGCCTGTCCCCTGCACGGCCACCACTCTGCTCTCTGCCACCACTGCCTGCCTCGGGGCTATTCCCCTAGACTCCCCACCACACAGAAAACCCAACTCAGAGCCTGTCCTGCTCAAAACTCCACTGGCTGCCCGCCCACCCATTTGGAGAAAGTACCCGCATCCTCCGTCCCCATCATGGCCGGGGACCCTCCAAGGAGTGGCGCCTGCCCCCTCACTGACCGCGTCTTAGCGCTCGGATCCTGCACCATGGGCTCACCATGCCCATCCCCACAGCCGCTCCCGCCTCAGGGGCTTGGAGCTGCTCACCCCTCTGCCAGGAGCGCCCCCACATTGTGCTTTGCTCTGATGCCCTGCTGGGGAGGTGATGCCCCACAGATGTCTCACTCCCTCTTTCCCTGGCTTGGGTCGTCTCCACAGCGCTGACCATCTGACTGTCACGAGTGGACGTCCCCGAGCAGCCGAGACCTATGCATGGGTTCTGCAGTCTCCCCTGCCCACTGGACGCTCAGCTGCAGGACCGGCCCTTCCTCTGGTCTGAGGGACTGAGGTGCAGGTCGCGAGCATGGATTCTGCAGTCAGGCGCCTGGGTTTAAACTGCAGCTCTATTGCTCCCTGGCTGTGTGAGCTCGGGTAAGTCACAGCACTTCTCTGGGCCCTAGTGTCTATCTAACAAATGGGGATAATAACACATCTTAGGGTTGTTACAAGAGTAAAAGTGAGGTTATTTATAAAAGTGTGTAGAACAGTGCCTGGCACTCAGAGGAGGGCTGTGTCCTTGCTGATGTCCGTATGATCGCCATCTGCAGGGCCCACAGTGCCTAAAACAGGTGTCCACACGATGGTGGGGACCCTCATCACACAGGCTTCAGACCCGCAGCCCCACGGGTGAGCGCACGCAGCAGGCGCCCACAGGAAGTGTGACCGGGAACATGGAATGCTTGTCGGTCAGGCCAGCGAGGGTCGACGAGTCAGTGGCTAATCCCGACCTCTCCCTCTCTGGATTCTGTGGCACCTCCCAGCCCTAACCAGGCCATCTGTGAGATCCACGCAGTCACCGACCCACTGGCCCAGGGCAGGAGCCTGCCGTCATGCCGCACACCCCCAGGGGAAGACGGCGTGGCAGCCAGGCCCTGGCGGGCTCTGCCTCTCGTTCTGAAGGCTCCTCTCCACCCGACGACCCAGCACGGTGAGAGGGCGGTGCCCGACGGCCAGGTGGCAGCGCAAGGAGCCGGGGCGGGGGGGGGGCGCTCAGCTAGTGGAGCTGCGGCCAAAACCCCCAGTGCAGGGTCTGTGCAGGGCTGGGGGGGGCGGGTGCAGCCAAGCTATGTGCAAACTCATAAAGTTTTGCTATGTTTAAAGTAAGTCTTCCATGAGATGTTTGAAAAGTTGGCTTAGCAAAAAGCATTACACGGAAGTGCTGGACTTGGGTTTCTAGTAAAATCTCTGGCACCAGGCTCTTCCCCCAGGGACTGTGTGGTGGAAGCCAGACTTCCTGCCTGGTGTCTGTTCTGGGACCAAGGGTCACACTGGGCCACTCCCTCAGGTGCAAATCCTTCACTGTCACCTTGGGTGCTTCCCAGGAAGAACCAGTGACCTTCAGGTTATTACTGCAGAAAGCTCCTGGTAAAAACCTGGCCATACCCGCTGAGAAAATGGGGACAGAACTGGGTTCAGTCCAGGGCTAACTCATGGGTGCTCTCACACTGCCCTTTAGCCCAGGCCCCTCCGTGTCCTCCTTGTGGAGGGACAAGCACTGTGTGGACAGGCTGGGGACGCGACCGCCCAGCTGCTCCCGGCTAGTGGACAGAGCTCAAAGAGCAGAAGAGAAGACTGGCCCTCAGGCCCCACACTGCCCACCTCTTAGGCCTCTGACCCTGGGCAGGGCACTTAACCTCCCTGGTCCTGGGTGTTCTCACCTGCTGGATGGGACCATGACATCTGCCAGCTCGCCTTGTATGGCTGGAGGGGGGAGTCCCACAGCCAAAAGAATGAGTGTATTCCCCAATCCTTTCCCATGGTCCTAGTACGTGGCAGATTGTGTCCCTGATGTGGGGGGACAGTGCTTGAAACGTCAAGGCCTAAAGAGCTACAAGGCGTTTTCATCATTCCAAATTGTGATTAACGTGCCCACTGAATAGGACGCTCACGGTTAAGCCACAGTTACGTCTGGACGTGCCATGCAATCCCGGACACTCTCCTTACCCTGGCAGAGGCTCACAGAAGCAACCGCAAGGATGGTTAAAGCCTCTCACGTAGCCAGGTTTCGGGGGACAGGATGGGTGTTCCACACTGATAGCTGGAAGACAGAGTGTGAGGGTCAGTGCATCACAACTTCAGACCACGGGGCCCTGCTGCTGACGCACCTTCCCGGGCACCCAGAGCATGAGCCACAATCACCCGGAGCCCCAGAGTCAGCACGGGAACCCTGCCACTGCTCTGGAGACCCCTTCCCCCACCCTTCCCTATGCACACCCATACTCACACTCTCACGCTCCTGCGCAGAAACTCACATGCCCACAACCACATGCACCCCCCACACTTATGTGCACACACATCCATGAACATGAGTCCATGCATGTTTACATACATACACACACACACATGCACACCCACATACATTCATGCACACACATACACACCCAAGACACATATGCACGCCCATGCACTCCCATTCTCAGCTTCCCCACGCCTACTAGCATTTTAGGGAAAAGAACATTTCAGAATGCAGAGCTTGGGGATACAGGGGCAGGTAGCCCTCCAAAACCCAGAATCCCCCAGTGTGGAAGGCTCAGAGGACCCCAGTGGCTGTGCTTCCAGGAGGAGGCGCTCCGCTAGGAAGGCACTCCCGTGGCTCAGTGATGGCAGGACACTCACGCTCTCTGAAGCCCAGAAGTAGCCCAAATGTACAGGGCACAGACTACAAGCCTCAGCAAGAATTAATAGGGGGGCTGGCCAAAGCTGTAACTTAAAAATAAAATTTCTAGCATGCAGACACTCCGTGGCACAGAATCCCTCAAACCAGACAAGGGGGGGCCCGCACAGAGGAGTCACAGTGTGTGCGGTTCCTGCCGATTTCCAGTAGCAGCGATGGGGGAGCCAGGGGCGCAGAGGAGACAGAGCCCAGCATCCTGAGGCCGCCCCTCCCCGGCGCTCACCACTGGAGCTGACGGTCCCATCTTCGTACTTCCTGACCAGCACCAGGTCCACAAAGTCTCGGGGAGAAATGAGCTTCATGGCGGCTGACGGGGTGGTGGTCCTGCTTATGCACAATGTCTGTCAAAGCAAAGAGGGGTTTGTGCATCTGGCAGACATCTGCCTGCCCCGTCCCACCAAGTCTCACTGAAACACCCCATCCGGTCACACCTAGGGCTGTGACACGGGATGCCCTTGGCCGGTTAGCCCTAGATCAGAGCTGCTCTGATTGCATCTCAGGAGATCCTAAGAGTTCCTGTGTGCACAGTAGGGGCCTTGCTGGACAAGCACTCAGTTGTCCCTCACACCTGAGACACAGGAGCCATTAACCCATTGACAGGAGGAAGCCAAGGCCTGGAGAGATGCTGGCCCTCTCCATAACGCTCATGCTGATGGATCTGAACAGAGCTGGGAAGAGGGTGCAGCCAGGCACCAGTCCTTTCTCAGGGCCGCCCTGCACTGGCCGGTCCTGAGAGCAGGGCCTCCTCATGTGTGCCCCAGGCAGCGGGCTGGCTCCTTCCTAAGCTTGGCCGTGCACACCACCCGTGGGAACTCACCCCATCCAGAACGTCCCGGCTGCCCACTGCCCCACTCTGTCAGCCAAGCACCCAAACCCAGCCCTGCTTCACCCCACCATGCCTGTCTCTGGGCCCCAAAGGGGAAGTGCAGCTCAGGCCCGAGGACGGAGGCTGGGACATGCCTGGCAGATGTCTGGGGGGCAGCAAGCAGGGACTGGAGAAGGTCTTTCTTCCCCTTTGTCTTGCTTGTTGGGCATTAAGACTTGGGTGCCACGTGTCCTGCAGAGACATGCTAGTCCTTGGGGCACAAGCCTTCCAGGTGGCTTGTGGTGCTCGGGACACCTGAGAGCTTCCCCCACAGCACCTGGGAGCAGCTTCCAGTGACTCTATGTACCTTCAGGTGACGCGTCCTTCCTCCTAAAATCACCTGCCTGAGAACAGGCTGCTGCCTCACCAAGGTCTCCTCTCCCCCTGAAAGGCACAACACCCCCACCACCACCCACGTCAATCTTCCTGGGAGGCGCTGCCCCAGCGTGTAACGTCCCCCAGGGTGCCAGAGGAGACACACGGGGCGCTGATTTCAATGAAACCCAGGCCTTACACACCAGAGGGGGAATTTTGTGTTTTCCCCTCCTGTAAGTACATTCTTTTTAAAGGCCAAAGCCTGCTGTTAGAAACAAGGTGATCTGGCCTTTTCTGAATTCTGGTATTTTGTAGTAGGAATGGCAGAAGTGATGAACACAAGTTTTCTTTTTTTTTTTTTAGTAACTACACAGTTTCCACTCTTGATTACTACCGCAAAATGCATCGTTCTGAAGCAGTGTCTGCAGACCGAGAGGAAGAGGACAGCGACAGCGGCAGCGGCGGCATGTACCACAGAACAGCGGCTGGTGGCGCAGCTGCGTCTCGTCCAGCCGGCCGGCTACTGCCCACCTCCAAACGGAGTATCTGAGACTTATCACCATCACGCAATAAATGCCAGCCTGCAAGGAAGGGCCCTTTCCCCACATTTTCACTGTTTTGCTGAATGACAAGGAGCCTCCCACCTGTCAGATGTTTCTCTTGCTCTTTGGAAACCTACGCTTACCGATAGTGTGTGTTTCCCCTTCCTGCACTTAATGGCTATTGAAGGCTGTATCTTTCTAGTAATAAGTTGTATCTTTTCACAGACAAATAAAATTAGAAAGAAGACCTCTCATTCATCTCACTGAGAGATGTAAAGTATTTCATTTGTTTAATAGTCCTTTATCAACATTTGTCATTCAATCATATTATTTTACTAAATTATAATCCTATCTCAATCCGGATTTTTTTAACATAGGTTTATAGTCACAGGAGACAAGCTTTTTAAAAACAATTTCAACTTATGTACATATTTATGATGCAGGATGATGACTTTCAAGAATACATGAGGACAAGATTTGATGGGCTACATGGAATAGAAATTCAAGTTCAAGAAACAAAAAGAATTTCTGGCTGTTTGAGGTAAATCTGTTCATGTAATATGTCTAAAATGGTGAAGAAACTATTATTTAGATACATCTAGAAGAATGATATCACTGTTCTGTTCAAAACTGCCAGATTTACTACATGCTAAAATGACATACTTTGCAATTTATGATGATAATTTTAGATGCCAACTAAATGTCGATTAGATTTGTGGGAATGATGTCTAATTTCTCAGAAGTCTGTTGGAGGTTTGCAAGCGAGAAGTTTGAAGACTGTTATACTAGAGGACTCTGGGGTCAGGGGGTGTATAGGGGGAGGAGGCAGCTGCTTTGGGTGGGCACTGGCTCAGCCTTCAGGAAGGGGCGCCAGGGGTGGGGGGATCTGTTCAGCCTGGTTGCATGATCCCAGAGAAGCAGGCATGCTCCCTCAGGGATGAACCTGGGTGTGCAGAGGAGGCAGACCCTGCATCCCCCCCAAGCCCCACGGGCAGGCTGGCCCAGGAGGCAGGAACAGTGGGTGCCAGCTGCCTGTGGGCCTGGCAGGCTCCGGAAAGTGGGGTGTTTGCAAAGGAACAATGAGGTAGACATTTACCAGCCAACCTCCCCACAGGCCTGCAGAACCCTTACAGATCACCGCAGGGCCTCTGAGGGATCACGTCAGCGGGACCCAGACTGGGGGTGCGGTGAGGGCACAGGGTCACCGAGGAGCTGGCAGCCTGGAGTCTGGAGCCCCCCACCAGATCCGGCCTGCCGGGCCACGCCACTGATTACTTGTGTGAACCGGGAGCACCTCTTTCCCACTGTGGGCCTGTCTCCTTCCTCCTGGGGTGCCCTTACAAGGCTCTGAGCGTGTAGCAGGGTGTAAAGGGATGTGGTAAGTGCTTATCCCCGTTATCACTACGGCAGCTCCGGGAGACCCCTAGAACTTCCCAGGCCTTCATCTCTCTCCCGTCCCACCGAGAAAATGCAGCCACTTCCACCTTCAAGAACAAAAGTCTACATACGATCATTCTGTTATGACATTTGTATTATGTTTGAAAAGGCACCAACCTGTGTTTCCTCCTAGTGAAGCATTTGTGTATAATTATTTGTATACGTGCTTCACAATTTTTTGCTATTTGTTAGCATCTATCCTGTTGTTCACTTACTATTTTTATCTGAATGTGCTCACTTTTTAAAACTTAGGCAAAAATATTCAAGGGTTCGTTAGATTCTCTCTCTGATTTGGAGCCTGAGGCCAGCAGCCTGTTTCCTCCTGTAAAGCAGAAGGCAGGGGCACGTTAGCACCACCCTGAGACTCCCCTCGCGGCAGCTGAGGATTAAAGAATTGAGTTGCCCTCACTCTGGGTGATTAATTGTAGCTTTGACTGTTAAGGTCCTCATATCACCTTTTGTACCCGGGGGGCTGCCCCACCCTTCAGGAAACAATGGCCTAGACTCCTGTTGCTAATGAACTGGGAATGGACTGAAATGTGGATTCTTGGTCAGGGTGAAGAACACTGGGGTGCTACTGATTGACCAGTAAATAAGTATTGCTCGGGTTTCCCAACAACATAAATGCCCAGGCATGTGCCACGTTCACAGATGTCACAATCAAGACACCATTCAAAACAGGTTGGCAACCTTCCCCCAAGGCAACTTTTGTATTAGTTTTGGCTAAGACTTTTTTTTTCTTCTTAACTTCCCTGATCAAAACGCGGTGGGCTCTTAGGGCTACAGAGGGGACCCCAGGGCAGGGACAACCAGATCAGGGTGCACTGTCTAGAGCAGCCACTAGCTCCACACGGCTTTCTAAATTTTCACTGAGAGTAATGAAAATTAAATAAAATTAGCAACTCATCTCCTCAATCTAGGTACTTTTCAAATGCTCTGCGGACACAAGGGGCTAGTGGCTATGGTGCGGGACAGTTATAGGACATTTCCATCGTTGATAAAGGTCTGTGGGTAGCACTATTAGATGTCACACTTATTTTGCCAACAGAGAAACTCACCCCAAAGCTGCTGCCTGGCACAGCCCCACCCGGAGGAGAATCCTGACTCACCAGACAAGATTCTCTCAATTCATACCCATGGCCCCATCACCGGGTAGCATTTCAACCTAGAGCTGGTGGGTCACATTCGTGTCTTCAGTGTGTTCATTCCATGCTGCCTCACCACCTGCTGCTGAGGCCCCTCTGCTCGGCTGGGGGCATCTCTACTTCTCTGAGTCACACTGAGTGCACGCTGGGCTCCCATGGTGCCAGCAGCAGGCAGCCTGTGTGTGCTGGGCACGGGGCTCTTCAGGGCACTCCCCTTGCCGAAAGGCGTCACCGGCCCCTCCCGAGTGGACAGGGATGACAGAGCGGGAAGGGACTTACATCAGTGATGCTTTGTATGATTTCAAAACTGGTCACATTCTCATCCCACTTGTCCCGCAGGGTCCCAGCCAGAGGCTTTACGCAGTCCCACACATTCTCGGGGGTCCCATTCAGGATGCCTTCCCCTCGGTACCTGGAGCAAGAAAAGGGAATGTGACTCCACAGCATCAGACCTGCTTACCCTGGGACGCTGCATGAGGCCTGGATGCCACGCCTGTAGGTCTGTCATCGCCCTCTAGGACAACCTGGTAGAGGAGGGGCTGACGTTTACCAGCCAACCTCCCCCCAGGCCTGCAGAAATGGACAGCACGCATTCCCAAGAATATAGCGTGCTGGAGACGATTCAGTTAAAAACATAAGCTTTTCTGGAAAATAACTGGTGACGAATCCAGGGTGTGAGGATTGATCAGCATCTTAGGAAGCAAACCCACAGAGACATCAGGAAGGCAGTGGCCCCTCGGACCCCTCGGACGAGCTTTGAACAAGGTGTGCACTTACAGCTTCCCTGGAAACTCCATAGATGGCCTCCAGCAAACGGAAACTCCGTTCTGTCAAAAGGCACAGAATCGCAGAATTTTAGGGCTGGAAGGGCTGTGGGAGATCACCTGGCACAACCCCCCTGTCCTGTGGACAAGAAGTCGGGAGCCTCAACAGAGGTGAGTGTCCGCGGTGATACGGGCGCTGTGAACGGCGCAGGGACTAGCCCCGGACAGCGCTGCCCCACAGGAGCGCGCGGGGGCCCCAGGGGGCTGAACTGGCTGCAGTGGGCAGCTCTGGGAGGTTTTCAGACCCCCTCGAAAGCCACCAGGCATTCTGCTCCCTCCAGCAACTTAGGTCTATGTGTCAAAAATCAGAAGCTTCAGATAAAGCCATTCCTACGGGAACGCGAAGGCAGGGCTCGGCTCTGGGGTAGGAATAAAGGCTTGGAGCCTGCGGATCTCGGCTCCCGTCCTGGGCACTATTTACCTTCCAGGTGACCTTGGGCAGGCCCTGCAATGAAAGGGTCACTTACCTCCTGGGGTCACTGTGCGCACAACAGGCCCAGTGCTTTTTAAGGAAACAACCCCCAGTGGAATCTGCTCCTCAATCCAGACCCGGGGGTTGGAATGCAGGAAACGAGGGGGAGAGAAGGAGCCTGGGGTCTTCGAGGACCCCGGCCCAGGAGCCAGGCCCTGCGACCCCTTCCCGCCCACTCCTCACTCACGCCTTCCCGGCAAATCTTCCAGCCAGACTGGTCTTGCCGGTACTGCAGCACCTTCTCCGCCACCGCCTCGCCCATCTGCGCGGCCCGCGCCGCCTCCATGGCGTCCGAGCCGCGAGCAGCCGTAGGGTCGCGGGCAGGCTGCTCAGAGCAGCGATCCCACCGCGAGCAGGGAAAGCCCAGGCGGGGCGGAGCCCGGAGCGAGGAGCGCGGCCCTGGCCCCGCCCCCGGACCCCTCGCCCCGGAATGGTCCGGCCGTCGGGCGGGCACCGCCCCCTTTCCGGATTGGTCCGGCCTTCGGGCTGGTTCCGCCCCTTCCCAGATTGGCAGGGAGGGGCGTGGCCCAGGCTGGCAGGTCCTGCGGTTTCGGCTCCGCCTTCCTGGGGAGCACGTGCGTCACGTCCCGGGGCGGTGGCGGCGGCTGCCTGGCTTCCTCCAGCCAGCGCTATAACCGGCTAGATATTAGGAAAGGTCAACGCACAGGTCTGTTTGTGTGCTTTTCGCTTCGTTTAACGCTTAAGGAGATGGTGTAAACACAGTGACTACTTGGAGACCCTTTTTGGACGGCGTGGTGGGCTGCCAGGTTGTAAAGAAGCCCTGGGCAGGGAATTAGGGCGTCCCAGTTGTAGCCCCAGTGTCACGCACTGTCCGCTGTGCGGCTTGGGGCGAGTCACTGCACCTCTTTGGACCGCAGTCTGCAAAAGTCTACCTGAGCCTTTGGGGTGGGCAGGTATAATAATAATACCTGTGCATGAAGATTCCTAGGAGGCGTGGAGAAAAGACGAAAAGTCAACCACATTCCAAAGTTAAGCACATCGAAAATACAAAAAGTCAGATAATAATCTGAGGGAAAAAATTGGAACATATTTCAAAAGAGCAGTTTTCTTAATGTACTAAATTGCTCTTACAAATTATTAAGGCATTTCCAAGCAACCCAACAAGTCAGAGTGTGAACAGATAGGAACAGACACTTTGCAGAAAATAAATGAACATGGCTAATACAGGTATGAAAAGATGCAGAACGTCCGTCCTAGCTGGGGACTTACAAGTTAAAACAGTGGGGTACATTTTACACCTATCTGATGAGCAAAAAAGGAAGAGATTTGTTAATTCCTATGTTGGTGAGTGTATGGAGAATAATTGTTTTTACACACTGGGTGAGCGGGTATATGTGTAACCTTCTGGGCAAAACAACATGTTAAAATTTTAATTTACTTAAATTGACCCAGTAACTCCTGTATAAAGATATATAAGGTGGATCTTGCAACTAGAAACAACCTGTTTATCAATAGACTAAACGAAGTGACAGGACATTCATTTAGTGAAACAGTATGTAGCCATTAATATAATGTGGCACAGATGAAGACAAAGGGGACGTGAAAGAGACAGGACATGCTCAATAGAGCCTGGGTACCAGTCTAGAAATACGAGTAGATGTGAGTAGACTATTCCAGTTAAGAGCAATGTACTTTCTACAAGGAGATAAGTGTTATTTAAAACTTAACTGTAAAAATAACTTACTGTTGTTGAAATTTTTATCCCCAGTCAAATATTTTTTTTTTGAGAGGGCATCTCTCATATTTATTGATCATATGGTTGTTAACAATAACAACAATAAAATTCTGTATAGGGGACTCAATGCACAATCATTAATCAACCCCAAGCCTAATTCTCAACAGTCTCCAATCTTCTGAAGCATAACGA